AACCCATCTAGTGATGAAAGCACGGGCTACTGTTTCTGCTGTGATGTCAGGCAGGGGGATGGCTTCTGGCCATCGCGTGAAGCGATCAATGCAAGTCAGGAGGTAACGGCATCCATTGGAAGGTGGCAAAGGACCAACTAAATCTATGTGTACATGATCAAATCGTGCACTTGGGCCTTTAAACTGGGAAAGTGGTGCAGCGGTGTGACGATGGATTTTAGCTCGCTGACACTGTATGCAAGATTTTGTCCAATTTCTTACATCGCGGTTGATACTTGGCCAGACATAGCGGTCTGTGATGAGGCGTTGAGTAGCACGAATACCAGGGTGTGACAAGGAATGAAATGCGTTGAATACCTGACGTCGCAAGTCATTTGGGACGAATGGTCGTGGATTACCTGTGGACATGTCGCAGGTAAGGGTCGTGTCACATGATGGGAGTGGCATGTCTTTGAAAGACAGCGAAGATGAGGATTGACGAAGTTGTTGGAGTTCGTCACACTGTCGTTGTAATTCAGCCATCTTGTTGAAATCGATGGGTGTGTGGGACTGCTCTGGGCTGAGGGAGTTGAGCTCGATACGCGAAAGAGCGTCCGCGGCAGGGTTGTCACCACCTTTGACGTATCTGATGTCACAAGTGAATTGTGAAACAAAATCAAGATGGCGAATCTCACGTGGGGAATGTCTGTCCATTGATGCTGACAGAGCGTATGTGAGGGGCTTGTGATCAGTGAGCACGTGAAACTCTCGACCCTCGAGTGAGTGACGGAAATGGCGAATGGCCAGATACACAGCTAAGAGTTCTCGTCCAAAGGTGCTGTAGCGCGTTTCGGCTGGTTGGAGCTTTTTGGAGAAGAATGAGATCGGCTGCCATGAATCATCTTCCCATTGTTGAAGAACAGCTCCTACTGCAACATCCGAAGCATCCGTCATGACGCTCAGCGGAGCATCTGGCTTGGGATGTGTGAGGAGGGTAGCGTTTGCGACAGCAGCTTTGATTTCTTCAAATGAGGCTGTAGCTGCGTCATTGAATGTGATTGGTGCTGACTTTTTTCCAGTGTTAGCCAGCAGAGCTGTGAGAGGATGGAGGACCTGAGAGCACCGTGGGATGAAGCGGCGGTAGAAATTAACAAGTCCAAGAAACTCTCGCAGCTTTGTCAGTGTAGTAGGTTGAGGAAAGTTCAAGATTACACTGACCTTTTCTGCGAGTGGACGTACCCCGTGGCAGTCGACTTGGTGTCCGAGGAACTCAAGTGAGTTCACTCCAAACCGACATTTTGCAGGGTTGATGATGACTCCGTACTGACTGAGACGATCGAACAGTAGGCGGAGATGTTGTGCGTGCTGGTCAGCATCTGTGCTAGCGACCAACAGATCATCAATGTAAGCGTAGCAAAAATCAAGTCCACGAGTGACTTCATCAATGAATCGCTGAAATGTTTGGGCAGCGTTGCGTAACCCAAATGGCATGCGGACAAATTCAAATAGTCCGAAGGGAGTAGTGATGGCCGTTTTCGAGATTGAGTCAGGTGCCATTGGAATTTGATGATAAGCACGGACAAGATCGATCTTCGAAAATACTGTCATACCGTGTAGGGATGCGGCGAAATCTTGGAGGTGCGGAACAGGATATCGGTCAGGCACAGTGGCGCGATTGAGTCCGCGATAGTCTCCACATGGTCGCCAGTCGCTAGGTTGTTTCTTGGGGACCATGTGAAGTGGAGATGACCAGTTACTGTCCGATGGACGAATGATGCCTAAGTCCATCATGTGTTGAAACTCGTCTTTCGCTACTTTAAGACGGTCCGGTGCAAGACGGATTGGACGTGCGGCAGTAGGTTGACCTGTCGTGACGATGTGATGTGTGACATTGTGTTTCACTGGTGTGTCACGATAGCAAGGTCTCGTAATGTCGGGGTAATCTTTCAGAATGTCAGCGAACTGTGATGAGGTTGGCGTCGCGAGGACAGGACTGAGCAGTGGTGCATTCGAGGATGTTCCTGTAACACTCAATGTAGTTGTTGCATCAATTAATCTGCGATGGCGAAGATCAACAAGGAAGTTGAAGTGTCGCAGAAAATCAGCGCCTATGATTGCGTGTTGGACATCAGCAACAATGAAAACCCAGCGGCATGGCCGCCGGAGTCCAATGTCAAGAGTCAAAGATCTTTCTCCGTAAGTGGCAATTGCTGAGGAATTGGCCGCTTGAAGATCTTGACCGTGACGACGGTGAGGACGTTCACGAGAGGAACATGGTATGATGCTTACCTCTGCTCCTGTGTCGATGAGAAATTGCTGTGTCGTTGCTCTGTCCGTTACATAGAATAGGCGACTAGATGAGGACGGGCCAGCAGAGCTTGTCGCCGCTAGTTGCTGGCTGGGCCGTTTCCCGAAGACGAGGAGGCAGGTGTAGTGAAAGAGCAGGGTTTGGTGCACTTATGAGCATTAGTGCCAAACTTGCGATGATACCAGCAGAGAGTATCGGGAGATGGACTGCGGGTGCGTCGATGACGATCACGGGACTGGCTGCGGCTACGACGCTGAGCTTGACTGGACAAGGCAGAAACTTGTGCCTGGAGCAGGGTGATTTGTTCGGCTAGTTTTTGAAATTGCGTAGCCTGTGAAGGTGAACTCTCCCCAGTTGTTACCGTGGCAACATGGCTGGGAAGAGGTGTGACTTCCACAATTTTGTCGGCCAGTTTAGCCAACTGCTCAATGTTGACATCATCGGAGGCCAACACGAGTTGTACGTTGCCAGGCAGGCGTTGGAGAAACAGTTGCTTGAAGATGGATTTCTCCAACTTGCACTCACCAAGCAGCTGTTGCATTTTGCGCAGAAGTTGGGATGGTTTCCGGTCCCCCAACTCTTCAGTTGTCAGGAGTTTCTGTAGCCGTTTTTTCTCCGATTCGGAAGTCCGCTTGATTAGCTCCTCCTTCAACGTTGTGTAGGGCTGGGTGGAAGGCGGGTTGATGAGAATGTCCCGCACTTCTTGTGCGATGGAGGGTTGAAGGGACGAGATTACATACAAGCTCTTGGAGTTGCAGCGCCGCAGCCTGGTGGAGAGAAAACCCAAGGAATGGAAGGCAGGTTGCTGGAAGTGCGGGAGTCTGGAGCATCTCCGAGCACGGTGCCCACTGAAGACCAGCATGAGGCAGGCAGCCTCCCCGCCGGTGCAGGCAGTCCCGCCAACGGCACGGACAGCCTCGCCGCTGGCGCAGGCAGTCTTGCCAACGGCACGGACAGCCTCGCCGCCGGCGCAGGCAGTCTCGTCGACGGCGCAGGCAATCTCGCCGCAGGAGCAGGCAGTCCCGCCGAAGTCTGGCTTGAGGAAACGACCTGCTTCATCTCAAGAGTTGGGACTTTACATCCGAGGGGAAATAATGGACACCGGAGCCACAGAGACTTTTGTTTCCAATCGGCTGTATGACAGGACAAACACGAAGTTAAGACCCGTGCTCGTCGATGCAGATCGCAGGTTCCGCCAAGCGGGTGGGAGTGAGCTGGGCATCGCTGGACGTGCGAAGATGCCGATAAAGACTGGGTGAAGCGAGGTGCTACACAGCGTTTGGGTCGCAGACATCAGCGTAGATGCCATTCTGGGACTGGACTTTTTGCGACAGCATCAATGCCAGCTGATGTGGGACGAAGAGTGCTTTAATTGTTGTCGGTAAGCACAGAGTTCCGCTACAAAGGAATGCTGGGTTCGGTAGATTCCCCATGGCCAAGAGCCACTCAACCGGCGGTTACTGCAGAACCAGCGCTGGGGCCAGTACGCCAGTCAAGGACAGACAATCAGGTTGGAACAGGTAATCCCGCCGCCGGAGTGGGCAGTCCCACTGCCGCCGTTGGACACCACACGACACAAGGCACCAGCTCGCCCCGCAACCGCCGTGGCAGGGCGGTCCGAAGACGGGGATGTTTGCGACAAGTCAGCGGTGGTGAGACGAAAGACAGTCAGCCAGTTCAAGGCAAGGCGACGTACACATGCAGGGTCTGCGGTCAGCAGTATGTCTCCTCGTTTACTCGGAGGAGGCATGAAAAAGCAGCGCATGAAGAACGGAGTTACCAGTGCCGGGAATGCCCGAAGTCCTACGGACGGTCGGACTACTTGACCCGGCACATGAGGGCCCAGCATCGGGGACCGACGAGTTGCGGATAGTCCTCGCCGATTGTTGTGTTTTTGTTTGATTTAGGAACCAGAGTGGGGCCTAAATCATCATTAACCACCATTCTTGAGGACATCCCCCCCCCCAAAAAAAAAAAATTAATAAATCATAGACAGTGAACTCTTGTGATTCTTGTTCCAGAAAATAAAGTAATGTAAAACCAATGCAAAGTAAATTCTTTTTGATAACCTTTTTTTGAATCTTGTAAACATCACTTGAAAAAAAAAAATTGTTTGTTTCTAAAAGTGACAGTGTTAGTCATGTAAACCCTGTTAGAAAAAAAAAACAAGTGAGTGTTTTGTTCTCTACATATATGAGAAAAAAAGAGGTTTTGGGAAATTGTGAATATCAGTTCATGTGAAATGTGTTGTATATGTGCCCCTATTCAGGAGAATGGGCCCAGTTTAAGGAGGGGGTAGTGTAACGGACAGTTTATGCACACTTTTGTTGTCATTGCTTTCTAGCACTAGTGCTCCGGCGGAGGGGCTCCGGCGGCGCGCACCTGACCTGGTTTTGGGTCTGACTAGCGCGCGCTCCGGAAATAGGCTCTACAAATAGGTTGCTTAAGTGGGTTTCTTTTGTTGGGGGACGCGGGAAAGGTTTGGCAAGATGCCGAGGTCATTGCAAGTTGTTACAATTGTATACATTTGTTCAGACTGTGTGTATTTCTATGCTGGGGCCGGGAATCAGCAGTCGTGGTACTGGTAGCAGTGTGGCAGGTTGACCACAGAGTTGTTGTGCCTAATAAATAAGAGTTTCTTCAGAAGTTGGAAATCCTTTGTATTTGTCCCCTTTTCTTGCGTTTGGCCGGACTGGGAGGACAAGAACCCAATAAGTTCACGTTACAATATTTTCAGACCAGACTCATACAGTTTGTGCACAGGGTGACAAGTGATGGCCAGATATGGGTTGCTAACTAGTTTGGTAAGTCCAATAACCTAAAAGTGGATTTTGGGTGCTTTACTACCCATTCACCTATAGTAGATTAATACAGATATGATTTGAGTTATTGCATGTAAGTTGTGCCCTGTCTTGGTAATTTCATCCAAGCAAAATTGATCCAATCTTTCAATGGAGTTTTAAGTTTCAGGTTATTCATAATTAAAAAAATCTTAGGCCAATTAAAAAATCAGCCAGGTGTTTATTTTTAATTTTAATTTTTAAAAAGGGGGAGCTTTCTCCTTTGCTTTCTTCAAATAATCTGGACGAGAATTAATTTTTTTATTTTTTGCTTGGCCTTATAGCAAAGTATGTTGATGGGGTTATTATGGGATGCCTCTGGGTTGACCGTCAAGTTACCACTGTTAAATTTTGCAAAATTATTTCAGGTTCCTGTGAGCCAATCATTGTGAACACCTGCACAGGCTCAGGTGTCTTCCACAAATACACCAGCGTACCAATCATCATACCTAATGGCCCGGGACCAGATGCCGGCTTCACTACCTATCGAAAGCAAAAGAAAGTGCTAATTCAAGGAAGGAGGCAGCTCGTATCTTTACTCAAGGGCCGTAAGCACAAGACATGCAAAGCATACATGCAGCCCTTCATTTGTGCTGCTTTCTTACCTGCATGCAACAGGAATGGAGATGCCATTCCACCTTGCCGAGATCTGTGTCTTGCGACCAAGGCAAATTGTCAGGTCAGCATGGAGGATTTAGGGTTGGAGTGGCCAAGCGAGTTGGACTGTGATGTGTTTCCTACCATCGATGAAAATCCGCGCTGCATATCTGGTAAGAGTCACAGAATGTTATATCTTAAGGTACTAGCTGTCAGAGCTACGTAACACATGAACCTAGACTGGGACCTTGAGTGAAGAAAAACATGCAAAAAATCAGGCAACTTTACTCACTCTGTAGTCTTAGCCAACAAAATTCTCCAAAGTTTTTATGAGGCAAAGACAAGGTCCTCAGCATTTCAGCAGCCGAGTTTGCAGTCTTGTTTCAGGTTTTTAAAGGAGACTTTTTTCACATTTTGAGAGTGAAGCCAAGTGATTTCAATTTGAAGCCCAAGACTTGACTGGTGCGTGAACCAACTGTTCGAAAAGATTGACCCTTCAGTGGTCTGGTGGCAAACCACAGAGATATGTGTATAAACTGAGACTTGGATGTTTCTTTTAGACACAGTTGATTGATAAAGTACCAAAGGGGTATTGGACTGGTTGTTTCATGTGCCAGTCTACTTTTATTGCATGTTTTCAACATTTTAAGTTGAGGGACTCTCATACACAGTATTGAGAGTCTCAAATTTTTTGGACTATAAACTAAAACCTGTTGTGGGTCAAGAACTCTCATGTCTACTGGGAATGGAGACAGCCATTTTCATCTAGGCACCTGACATTGTCAGATGTAGTCCAGTAATTTTAACTGTCTTACACTCTGTATGTTCTTTTTAGGACACACTGAAGACAACTTGCCAGCCCGAGTGAACCCACGTGTGGTGATTCGTACCTCTGATTCAATCACCGTTGAATGGAAAAAACTCAAACCGAACTTGATCCAAGGGTACATGTTAGGATATGGTAATGGCGAACCGGACATAATGATTGAACGTTTGCCTGCCACACAGTCCGAGTTCACCATCACTGGTTTAACTCCTGACACCTCTTATCAGATAATGTTGCGAGCGTACAATCTTGTGGGTGAAGGAGAGGTTACTGTTGTGAATGCAGTGACCAAGCCATCAAGTGGTAAGCCACCCATGTGGTTGATGTCTTATTTTTGTATTGGTCTTTGCTTTTGATAGCAATCAGGAATGTTCATAAGATGGAATTTTTGCGTCATATTATACACTGTATACTCGGTGTGTTACCTCCCGAGTGAAGTTGGAAAAAATCACTCGGGTGGGACTCGAACCCACGACCTCCTGCTTTCTAGTGTAGATGTCTTACCACTACGCTTCACCATGGAAGGTTTGAACATTTTAAAAGTTTTGTAACCCCTCCACGAATACTCAAGGTGGATGACGGATAACCACGGATAACCACGGATGCACTAAGGATGATAAACTCCCAGGGTTTATCATGAATTTCAAACTGTGGAGATCCGTAGCTCCAAACAATAAATTTGACTGTTCTTGGGTACCTTTTATCAAATCAGGATGAGTTGACACCAAATTGATTTATGTTGCATTAAAACAGATGACGGTTCCGATGAATCGGAGGAGATGTGCTCACAACCCATGCCAACATGTCCTGATGATGCAATTGCCTGTGACGATGACTCTAAATGTGTCTCCATGTCTGCTGTGTGTGACAGAATCCCAGATTGCGACGACGGACGTGATGAAATGCACTGCGAAGGTAGGTTACAGCTTTAGTTTGTCATGTTGGAGAAAAGTTTAGATTTTTGTTTCAAATGAACGGATGCTTGTTAAAGGTATAGTCCATCATTTGTAATTTGTAATTTGTGCATTTACTTCGTTTGAAGCAACAAAAGTGCTCAAAAGCTAAAGAAGGGTGCTGAACAACTAACCTGATGAAGTTTCAGCTCAGCTTCAGCTATATATTTGGAGCATTTTTTTTCAGTGGGATTTGAACCCACAACCTTCTGCATTCTAGTGCAGATGTCTTGCCACTCGACCACCGAGCATGCCGAGGTCAGGTGGCTGGTTCAAATCTTGATATACCAGTGGGTACCTCAACCAAACTAATCATGAGATGGATGAAATTTGTCCTTGAAACATTCTGACAAAAAACATTCCTTTGTTTTGAGGACTCAAAATTCTAAAGGATTGGATTTGCCAAAATTTGTCTCTGGCAAATCATTTGTATCAGCCCTTGGTTTTCTGCTTATCTTATATTCACCAATTGAGAAGTTTTCTGTAATACTTGCAAGTTTTCTCGGAAAGAAAATCATCTGAATCTGAGTTGTGTCATGTTGCAAACTCCTAAGAATGACTTGGAAATTAGTGGTTGTATCCATCATGTCCAGCATGTCCATACGGAAAAAGTGTCTCTTCTCATGGTTGGAGATTTTCAAATCTGGATATCCTACTTTTTTCGAACCGAATAGCAAACCGAGTAGCGGTTACCCAATTTCACCAGAACTCCCCATTCTGCTCACAGTCATGCCAACAAAAAGTGATCAGTGAGGTGCCGCATGCAATGCCCTCCACAATGATTGGGTTTAGTTTGCAGGATTCAGTGACACTGGGCCTTTACAAAAACACTCCAGAGCTGTAATGTTGAAAACAAAAATGGGCGGGAACTCTCTGATCAGTCAAGTAGGCAGGCTATTCATTATACCGAGACGACCACTAGCAAGTGAATGCAGTTACAAATTGGGGGATGTTCCAGTTGTTGTTTTTCAGCCTGTGTCACAAAAAAATGGAAGGCTTATTTTATAAAATGTTGGTCTCCAAATTTGAAATCAATTTAACGAAAGGGAAAGTCTCACCATTATTCTCAACTCTTCACATTTCTTGAGCATTTTGTGCTTTATTTTTCCACCATGACTCATCTTTCAGGAGAGACCGCCATCCGCCTCAGCAATGGAACGTCACCAAGCGAGGGCCTCCTTGAAGTGTTCTATAATAATGAATGGGGCACTGTCTGTGACGAAGGATGGGACTTCGAGGATTCCGAGGTCGTCTGTCGACAGCTGGGATATAACAGAACCAAATTTGCGATCTCCGTCGAGTATGTCGTTAGTAAATGATTTTGTTTGTTGAAAAAGAATTTGAATTAATGAATTATTTTTATTTCCTGCATTGAGTCACCCCTTTCATTCTACATGGTACTAGCTACCTTATTTCAGAATGAACAGGGATGTTACATATTTAATTAAAGAGGTATTTCCCATGCTGTTAATGAGTTTCACCTTGGAAATATAGATTTTTGGGGCTTTTCGGCAACCGGCTGAAACAGCCTTTGTTTTCGTTAAGATATTTTTCCCTCTTTTTTAGGCAGGCTGATTTATTGCAATAAAGGCAGGCAATGAGTACACCACCATCTTTTCCTAAAAAAACATTGGTTAAAGTGTCAGAAATTGCCTCAGATCGGGAACCAAATTTTTTTTGGCCCCCCCCCCCTAATTGTGTTCTGGATCCGCCCTTGTCCAAGATTACCTGCTTTGAACAGCTTCTCCAACATTCCGATAGTATTCCCCCCCCCCCCCCCCCCCCTCATCCACCCATCTCACCCACTCGGCCCCCCCCCTTTTGATATTTACTGATATTTATTGTGCCGAGACTGGCTGACTGGAAAAAAATCCTGGCTAAGTTTCGGCACGGAGGGGTACGTTGTCAGCAAATGTTGTGTCAACCCCTCCCCCCCCCCATTTCAAGCGGTCTGACTACGCCCTGTCAATGTTATTTGATAATGTAGACGAGGCCCCTACCATAGTGTTGTAGTTTCATTCCAAAAGGTTTGTACGGCAGTGAGCTGTGGCTTTTGAGAAGACATCTTTTATGATTTTTGAAAATCTCTCATTATATGCAGGCTTTCACACTACGTCGGCTTCGACAGTTTCAGATCGGTCATGTTTACTAACGTTGACTGCGAAGGCACAGAGGAATCTCTGTTTGACTGCCCCAAGTCGGACTGGTACGTTGATGATTTCTCGTCTGCGTGCACCAGCCATTTGAACGATGTCATCGTGGCATGCCAGAAGGGTAAGTTTGCCATAAAATGAAGACACTATGTCAACTGTAATGTCGGGCAAAAATATTGACTCTGTAGAGTATATATGGTCTTGTAAAAGTTGCACACTCCTAGCATTTAAAATTTTGTACTATTATTATCATTATTATTATTTATTCGACCTCAACAACATAAGAACAAGAAAAAAATATATATACGCCGGTAAGGAGGTCCGCTCAAATGATTAGATTTAAGGACGCCAAGGACAAATCAAGACAAACAGAAACAAATCAAAGCAGGAGTCAAATTATGCTTGGTCTCATGAACTTGTTCACAAAAATCGATTACAATAGTTTAAATTAACACATGATCTCAATTTGAACTCACAAAAACAACTGTTACAAAAAGTACTGATAAGATAATAGATTCAGTTTCTAGCTCTATAAATTGTGACACAGTTGCCAATGATAAAATATATTAAATCACAAAGGTTGTATTTCTAAAGTTCCCAGATTCAAAGTGAGGTTCCTAAGATTCACCGGTTCCTAAGATTCACCGGTTTCTAAGATTCACCGGTTCCCCTAACGCCTGGCCAGTGTACGGCTGTTGTGAACTAGGCCTCCAAACTGCACCTGACATGAAACAGCCATATTGCCATAAATCAACATGTGACACACGGTGATTAAAACTTTGAGATTACGAAGACTAATTCACCCCAAAATCACTCCTTTCGTCAACATGAAATAAACTAACACCTAGCCCAGCGGTAGCAGAGAACTTGCATTATGACATTAGAATGTAAAGATAATACAAATTTTGCTCATTTGAAACTAAAATGTTGGTGTTCAAGCACAAGTTTTGTACACGATAGTCACACTTTGGTGTGCAGGCAGAAAAGGGATGATATTTGCGCGTTCACGGCACTGAGTGCGCGTTTGTATACATTTTTCTGGGCTGTGTGCCAATTGTACGGTGCCTCGTAAAAGACGTCTCACTACACAAATGTACATGCACAAGGCAAATCCAAATACTAGGAATACAAAAATAACTAAAAATACAGACAAAGAAAGCTATGTATAAAATAAAGACGATGACAGTGTAGGGTAACTCAAGAAGAGCATATAGCAAACAGCAGAATTATAACTTAGGCAAAATTGATTAATAAGTTAAGTGTATGAGGTAGTATTGCGAGGTTCCTTTGGTTCCCCGGTTCTACCTGGTTCCATTGTGAGAACCAGAACCGGGTACTCGCTGTGCTCGGTTCCGGCTCCAAAAGAATCGGTTCTAGATTAAATTATCTTTTCTCTGTGCACAAAACCCAGAGCTGAGAATCGGGCAATGCGTATGAATTCAATCGCGTGAAAACCCGGGACATTCACTCTGGCTATAGTCAACACAATGGCAGAGAAAGCCACACAAAGAAACTCCTATACGTTACGGAGAGTAAAAAACAAAACACTCAGCAGAGCCCTCTGTTTGCGGCCACGAGGCATAGAGCATTGAATCCAATACTGGCCCTGTACCATGGATAATAATCATTTTGACTTTAATACATACACAATTGCATGGGGCGAGGCTGGACAAGCGGTGTTGGTGGTACTGCATGCTCCTGCATTAGGAAAAGGACCGATCACTGGAGAGGGTTTAACCAATAAAACAAAAAAAATAGAGTTCGATTTTCACAAAAGTCCCATTTTCATGTCACACCGGCTCTGAGTGCTGGAATCGGCTTTGATGGACCCAGCTCTGAGTAGTCTGGTTCCCAGACCAAAGGATTCTGACTACATGTATTTTTGATGAATCTTAGGTCATGCAGGTAGCGGCTAGTATCTATACAAAATATAGATATACGTCACGTGACTAAAACGGGAGGAATGCCTCCTTTTTCCGAAAATATCCGAAGTTTGCTGAATTCATTTCGTCGACAATCGGATAGCGCCCGGGTATTTCCCAGTATAATATAGGTATCATTATAACTGCCTAATTGCAAATTAAAAACTTTGAAAATGAGTTGATAATTAATATTCATTGCTTGCATGTAGAAAACTTGGAATTCAACGACGATTTTGTGCATCAAGTATGCACTCGGATCGTGTACGAGGGGCAAACTTTTTGCTTGGTCATGTACTATTTTGAATTTGACGACCGCTACAGGGATTTTCCAAAACTCGGTGTGGTCTTCATTCGGCTCTGCCTGCTAAAAGTGCTATTTGGGTGCCTAACTTTCAAGATTCCAGGTCAACATTAGTCAATGTCTTCTTACAGAAATATCAAACTGTATATCATAACTGTATGATGGTATAAGAAGCAAGTGATTTATTGAAAAATTTAATTCAAACATTCAAAGCTATATAAGTGACAAGCTGATTTACCCGATCATAGATCGGGTAGGGCGTAGTGTTGGGGATGAAAATGTGGGGAGTTAAATGTAAATGGGGGATATAGTTGGGGAGACATGCAGTTATAGAAAAGCAATTTTTGTGGTGTGATCTGAGACAATTTCTGACCACTAAAACCAATTTGAGCAAAAGATCATCTTTTAAAGTTTGGAGTTTAAAGTAATTGAATCAGCTACATGTATTCTGAGTAATGAGAATCATAATTGTAGGCTACAACATTTTTATTCGGGGAAGAAAAAGTGTGTGTGGGGGGGGGGGGACACCAAACAATGTCCCCCGCCTGAAAATGGGGGGGGGGGGGGTCCCCCTGTCCCCCGTCGATTTACGCACATGATAATTATGTACCGTGGCAACTGTCTGTAAATGTTGCCGTTTGTCTGTTAAATTGGCTTTTTGTGAGGCAGTCGCATTTGGAAAACGTAGATGGGGGATATAGTTGAGGAGACGTGCAGTTATAGAAAAGCAATTTCTGTGGTGTGATCTGAGGCAATTTCTGACCACTATATAAAATCAATTTCAGCGAAAGATCATCTTTTAAAGTTTTGAGTTTGGAGTAATTGAATCAGCTACATGTATTCTGAGCAGTAGAATCATTATTGTAGAGTACAAATTTTATTCGGGGAAGAAAAAGTTGGGGGGGGGGACCAAACAATGTCCCCCGCTTGAAAAATGTTGGGGGGGTGGGGGGGGGGTTTCCCCCGTCCCCCGTCGATTTACGAACATGATAATTATGTACCATTGCAACTGTCTGTAAGTGTTCCCGTTGGTCTGTTAAATTGGCATTTCGTGTGGCAGTCGCATTTGGAAAACGTAGTGAAAAGGTTACCGTAGTACACAGGCGAAGCCTGATTGTACAGTTTTGACAATAAATAATAATGCAATAAAACGTGAAGGTGTCATTTGAAATGAAAATGTTGAGTGTGACCATAAAATATGGAGGAAGGTCATAATTAAGTTTCAGTATTGGACTCTTCAACAAACGTTAACTTGAACTTCTTACAATTTGCGAGACCGTCTGGCGAGGAAAAAGTCGATTCAACTTTTATTCAAGTTGGTTCAACCATCTATAGAGCAAGTTTTACTCGGCCTCCGAGAAATGTTTGCTCCTGAAAGGATCCAAGACCGCGGTCTCCCGCGACGCCACAATGGCTCCACGTCCATGGAAAAATGTGGAGGGTGTCTTCCGCCGGGTCGGACACTAAAGTCTTTTTCGTCGATTTTTTTGTGACTGCGTTTAATATCGCGATAAGTTGATGCAATGCATCGATCCTTCGTTGATCCCAAACAGTCCCCCGAAATTATCACGCGACACTGAATTATACATGGCGTGCAGCGAACTCACAACGCTCAGCCTTGGTGGTTGAAGCGTGGAGCTGTAAACACATTATGGAAGCAACAGCACTCTATCACGCGACGTCACATGCTTGCGCTTCAAATAGCGAGCACCGTAGACTCAACCTCGTTTCCAGGGTGTGGAGCAGGCTGCAGTACGCGTTGCCATCGACGGTTTTACGCATAGCCGAGAAGTACCACGCAGTGTAGACTTTCGATTGGTCAGACCGCGCGAGGCATACCAATGTGTAGTCCTTCTGAGTATTCGTTGCACTCGGCGCAGGGGCGGCAAGCGAAGCACAGGAAAGAATAGGGACACTTGGTGGCCACGCACCATGGAGAAAAAATATTTTGCCAAGGTCACCCCTTGCTACCGTTTGGTGAACGCTTTGGCAGTACGGCCGAGTAGAACACGTAAACGAAACCCCTACGTTGACCTCGCTGACCTCGCACAGTCTAGACACGCAGAAAGGCCAGCACGGGGGGCGGCCAGGCAGTCAACGTGAAAGCGCACACGACGGCAAATTCCTGCGCAAAACGCAGTCACGAAAAATCGACGAAACGGATCGCCGGTCCGTACCGGAAAATCAGGACGACCCGAAGCGTCCGACCCGGCGGAAGACACCCTCCGCATTTTTCCACGGACGTGGAGCGATTTTGGCGCCGCGGGAGCCCGCGGTCTGGGATCCTTTCATGAGCAAACATCGTCTCGGAGGCCGAGTTAAACTCTCTCTTATATATATAGATAAAGCGAATTTGGAAATAAAGCCGAGCTTTGAAAAAGGGGCCGTCAATGCCGTCATATTTATTATTAGCCGCGGTTACTGCCTGACCTACAATTTAGACCTGAGCGTCGGGAATAATTGGCAGGTCTTGAGTAGGGGATGGTGGAGGGTACTATACTTTGCCATAGGTGTGGGTGGGGTACAGGACCAATATTTCAAAATATATACCCCTTTTTTGACCTGCAAGGGTGGAGGGCACCAGACCCAAAACCCCCAATATCTCTCTGTCTCTGAGTTGTTATATTATAAGTGGGGGGTACGAGGCCAAAACCCCTAATATCTCCCTCTGTCTAGGCACCAGACCAGGCTCTTACTGTCTCGTGATGGGCACCAGTGATGGCCAAATTGGACGGCTAACTAGTCTGGTAAGTCCAATAACATAAAAGTGGATTTTTGGTGCTTTACTACCCCATTCACCTATAGTAGATTAATACCGATATAATTGGAGTCGTTGCATGTAAGTTGTGCCCTGTCGTGGTAATTTCACCCAAGCAAAATTGATCCAATCTTTCAATGGAGTTTTAAGTTTCAGGTTATTCATAATTTAAAAAATCTAAGGCCAATTAAAAAATCTGCCAGGTGTTTATTTTTAATTTATACGTTTGCAATTTGTTTTGTACTTTTTTTTCTAACAGAATTGTAGCTTTGTATAAATGGTGTCGGCTCCTTTTAGACATAATTTTTGTATCGGCAAAAGAGTTGAGAAAAGGGAAACATCCATCTTGGAAAATCGGCCATCTTAGGGAAAAAAAGTGGGGGGGGGGGTCCGGGAGCTATCTCCGTCACATTCGTTCTTCATATAATCTGGCAAGAATTTTTTTCTTCATTTTTACTTGGCCTTAATAATATCTAGCATTAAGTATGTCGATGGGGTTATTACGGGGCCTCGGGGTTGAGTGTCGAGTTACCACAAATGAATGAAAGGTTTGCGGAAACACCATGAGCGAATAATTTCTCAACTAAGACAATGGTTCTGAAAAGAACCAGAGGTATAAACTTAACGTTCTAGTCAGTATGCTCTGACCGTCTTCAGTTACCACTGTTTAATTTTGCAAAATACTTTCAGGTTCATGTGAGCCAATCAGTGTGGACACCTGCTCCGGCCCATATGTCCACCACTACACCAGCGTACCAATCACCATACCCAACGGCCCGGGACCAGACGCTGGCTTCACAACCTACCAAAGCCAGAAGAAAGCGCTTAAAGGAAGGAGGCAGCTTGTCTCTCTACTTAAGGGCCGTAAGCACAAGGTGTGCCGAAAGTACATGAAGGCCTTCGTTTGTGCTGCTTTCTTACCTGCATGCAATGAGAACGGAGATGCTATTCCACCTTGCAGAAATCTGTGTCTGGTGACCAAGGCAAATTGTCAGGTCAGCATGGAGGATTTAGGGTTGGAGTGGCCAAGCGAGTTGGACTGTGACGTGTTTCCTACATCCGATGAAAATCCGCATTGCATTTCAGGTAAGCGTCACAGTTTATTGAACATTATTTCATACAGCCCTGTTAGAGATACTTCACACTATACGGTGGTTGTAGGAAATAGTGGAGCTAGAATCAGAAATGATCTTCTTTCTTAAGGCCCTGTCACACTGTTGTGAATTAAGCTAAAGTGTGCCCAACATTTTTGGAAATTTGGGTGTATGTTCGTGTAAGTTGTCACTTGTTCGAGACAAGTTTGGCATAAGTTGTGTTTGTTAGCGGTTCGTAGGGGTTCGCAGAGGTGCGCTGGGGTCTAGGTAAAATTTTGAACATAGTAGTAGTAGTAGGCGACAACGTAGTGATCAATACGCTATGTTGAGCATTGGCTGTGTGAACTTTTCGCACGTTGGGTGTTGGTTGCTTCTTCGTCAGCTGATCAGACATATACGGACAACCCAAGGATCTTTGTTACATGTATATGGTGAATGTCCAACATATACATAGAGTTTGTCTCACGCATGGCTAATGAATGTGACAACGGGGACTTGGAGAGCTTATTTATGGGTCAGCGGAGACACGTCACATGACCGGCCGCAGCACGCTAGGCACATGTTGGCCATTCCTTGCATACGTTCAGCATTCATTGGATGGACGCTACGCATGTGCTGTTATTCGTTACTATATGGACACTAGTTATACGCTCAGCATTCGTTCCGCATTCGTCTTATACGTCAGGAGTTTGCTAAAAAACAGATTTCGGCCGAGAATTTGAGTGTATCAGGACGTTGCCAAATTTTGAGAAAAAGTCAGTACTCTAGGCATAAGTTAGCTCTATTTGCTACTTGTGACAGGGGCTTTACATGTAGTTAGAATAGACTCTATTGTATGTGGTTTGGTCCAGTAGAATTTGTCAATTCGATTTGGTCCGGCCCAGTATCCTTAGAATAAATGGTTGTCCATTCATGTACCCAAAAACAGCTTGGTTTTTTTTTGTCTCCTTACTTTTAATTAAAGGCACATGTTTAAAGTGCCAGATGCAGTCCAGTAATGTTGACTCTGCCTAATTTTGTGGGTTTTTTTTTAAGGACCAGCTGAAGACGGCTTGCCACTCCGAGTGGTCATACATGAGGACTGATTCCTTCCTCCACTAAAATCACTGTTGGTTAGAAAAAAGTCAAATCGACTTTGGTCCAAGGATACATTTTGGAATATGGTGATGGCTCATCAGCTAGACTGACTGAAGTTGTGTCTGCCACACAGTCTGTGTTCACCATTTTTGGTCTAACTCCTGACACCGCTTATGTGATTGGATTACGAGCGTACAATGCCAAGGGTGAAGGAGAGCCTACTGTTGTGGATGCAGTGAGCAAGCAATCAAGTGGTATTAAGCCACCAATTGTTTTTTTAGTTGTCGTGTTGATGTCTGTATTTCTTAATGGTCTAGGTTTTGGTTCTATGCTTTATGAGTCCATCACATTTCCAGTTCAACTCGCAAGCTATTCAAATGAGCTTTGACAAAAGCATTCCTTTGTTGTGGACTTGTGAACTGCGTGCTTGTTTTGACTGCACAGACTGAGGTGTTTTTATGGATTCTAATACGATCGACGAAGCAGCTGAAACAGTAAGCGCATACATACAGTTTTGTGAGGATATGATAGTACCGGAAAAAGAACTGAAACTATTCCCAAACAACAAACCTTGGATATCAAAAGAAATCCCTTTTGGCAAGGAAAAACATTGCTGTGAGAAACTGTGATCTACCGGAAAAGTGCAAAATTCAATGGGAGATTACCGCACATATCAAAAAAGGCAAGAGACAATATGGTAAACAAATTGAGGACAGCTTCAGTCAAAAAGACCCTAAAAGTGCATGGCGAGGACTAAAAACGAAAAGCATTGATCCGCCGGATAACCCCAACGAATTCGTAAATGAACTAAATGTTTTCTTCAGTCGCTTTGACGTAACAGACTGTAGCGATGTCAACATGCAAATCGGAGAGGCGCTGAAAGTGAAGGCAAAAGACAACAATAGACTGGAACTCAGTAGACTGGCTGTGGAAAATGCTTTAAAGAAAGCAAAAACTAATAAAGCAAAAGGGTCCAAATGGAGTCTCCGGTAAAATACTGAAAACCTGCTGCAAAGAACTGTCGCCAGTGTTCCGCGATCTCTTTCAATGGTCGCATGACTCACATCAGATTCCAAAGCTGTGGAAATCGTCAATTGTTGTCCCAGTGCCCAAAGTAGCCAAACCATCTGTCCTGAACGATTACCGGCCAATTGCTCTCACAGCTGTTGTGATGAAGTGCTTTGAGACCATCGTCAAAGATCTACTCCTGGCACAGACCAAGATGTTTGCTGATCCTTACCAATTTGCAAATTGCGCCAAGCGAGGGGTTGATGACGCAGTTGCCACACTTCTACACAATGTCTATGAACACCTGGACAAACCTGGAGCTTATGTGAGAACACTTTTCAGTGACTTTTCATCGGTGTTTAATTCAATGCAGCCCCACATTCTTCTCAATAAACTACAGAACATGGACATTTGTCCATTTCTGACTCTGTGGATTAGAGACTTTTTGCTGGTCAGACCCCAGAGAGTGAGAGTTGGTAGTTCACTCTCCGACACAATCTTCACAAGTACTGGAGCGCCACAAGGTTGTGTCCTGTCGCCAGTTCTGTTCTCGCTACACCAGTGACTATCGTTGCAACACCAGAACTGGCTCTGTTTTGAAATATGCTGACGACACATCATTGACTGGCTTGATCCTTCAAAACGATGAGTCTGATTACAGAACTGAAATAGAACAATATGTTCAATGGTGCGACAACAATTTTCTTATGCTAAACGTGTCCAAAACAAAAAAAGTTATTTTTGACTTTCGTAAAAAACAACATAATGCTGGTCAAGTTAGCATTAGAAATGAACAAGTGGAAAATGTCACTGAGTACAAATATCTTGGAATAGTCATTGATAACAGATTAAACTGGAACAAAAACACTCAGAGAATGCATGCCAAGGCAAACCAGAGGCTTTATTTTCTCAGGAAGTTAAGTTCTTTTAATGTTCGTGATTCGATTTGGATCTATTTTACCAGAGTGTTGTCTGGTCAATCATTTCTTTTTAAATAGTTACATTGTATGGTACAATAACTTAACTGTAAATAACCGGGGAAAAATTGAGCGGATCACAAAAACTGCAAGAAAAATAATTGGTCTGGAAGTGAAACAGGTGAACGAAATTGTTGAAACAAATTATCTCACGAAACTGCAGACTATAACTCAGGACCCAACTCATATCCTCTACATTCATCTATACAGTCACTCCCATCAGGACGATTACGAGCGCTCCCCACTCACACAAACCGGTTCAGATTCTCTTTTTTACCTAGTGCCATTCATCTCTAAATTCTAATTTTATCAGATAAATACTGTCTGTTTGCAATGTGTTTACAATTCAGATTAGACCTTTTTAAATAAATAACCTAGCATATCAGCATGCAGATTTGAATACTTTTTTATAACAATACGTTTTTTGTTTTCAAGCTTCTCTATTTTTCAAAGTAGGGATTTTTGCTGGTGGTTTTATACTTTTCATAAACTGAAGATTTTGACAGGTAAATTTTTACGTGTCTAAATATATGTTTATTGCTTTTATGTGCACATTGGGAAGAAGAATTTCACTTTTAAAGTCTTTTAATTGTGATGAAATAAAATATTGTATTGTATTGTATTGTGAATGGTCTTGTGGTTTACTTGTGACTCGATTGGTGATGTGGTGAACTCATGATGGATTTGACTCCATCCCTGGTATCGATGTAATATGGGATCGGCAGCATCTTCATTATTATGTTCATTCAAATAAGTCTGTTTTGTTGGGCAACAACGGGCATTTTTGAAAGGGTATGACAGGCAGTTTTGGTAATCCTAGATGAAACCCTGTCGCACCCCTTTTTTTTTCTCTTGGCACTAACACGCTGCAACTTTGCGCCCGCACCCCTCTTTTGCCTACTCGCACCCCTTTTTCTCTTGGCACTAATATGCTGCAAATTTGCCCGGCATCCCTCTTTTGTTTTCTCCCACCCCTTTTTTCTCTTGGCTCTAACATGCTGCAAATTCACGCCCGCATCCGTCTTTTGCCAATTCTTGCATCCCTTTATTCTCTTGCAACTAACATGCTGCAAATTCGCTCTCGCACCCTTCCTTTGTCTTCTCGCACCCCTTTTTCCCCTTTGGCAACAGTGAGATCATAACATGCTGCAAATTCACGCCCGCACCCCTCTTTTCTCTTCTCGAACCCCTTTTTTCTCTAAGTAACAATGAAGTCTTAACATACTGCAAATTCACGCCCGCACCCCTCTTTTGCCTTCTGTAAACTATATACGCTGGGCTAAACATAATAAATAATTTTTTAAAAAGTTGATTATTTGGTAAACAACTAAGAACAAGTGACTCGTGACTCAGACTCGAGGCTTGTGACTCGGACTCAGACTTGAGGCTAACGACTCGGGACTCGGATTCGAGGCTTGTGAAATGGGACTCGGACTCGGACTCGATGTTAGTGACTCAACTACAACACTGTCTTAGTTTACCGTCGAACTGATCCATTATACATTATGTGTGTAGCGAACCTTTATGTCCATTAAAAGAAGCAAATAAGTTTGCAACTGTACAAACTTAAGTGTACGTTACATTACGATAGCATGCGAGTGCATGACCTTGTGCAGTGCCTGGGCCCTGACCTAGTGTTTCCCCACATACACTGTTGTTACGCAACATTACGTAAATCTTGCTGAGGCAAGGCCACTGGGGCAACGGCCGCCGGTGATTGTATGCTCTCTTATCGGCTGTATCTGTCAGTGCACAAACCATTGGCGCTGTGGCCCATTCTTGTTTTACACAAATCATCGCATTTTACACGAAGCATCGGTACCGATAGTTCATTTACAATCAATTTAATGTCACTAATCTATCGAGAGTGTCCGAGTAATGCATCTGTTGGTCATCGCAAGCAAAATTTAACTGCCGCGCTTTGCACGCCGTTATTGACCGGCGCGGCACACAGTTGCAGCTGGTTATGTAAAACTTGATCACAGAGTTTAAAATAATCAAATATTCGGCGAAACGCAGATCCGGTCAATAATCGAATACTAAATTTTTTGAAAATGGATATATAGCCCTAGTGTTTTCTTATCAACAGAAGAGTGGCCAACAGAAGAGGGAGCTGTTCGTCTTGTTAGCAGTTTATATGATGTCCCACATTCTGGTCTCGTTCAGTACTACAAGGACGGCCAGTGGGGCTACCTCTGCACCCCGCTGGTATGGGACGAAGGCAATGCTGATGTCGTCTGTAGACAACTGGGCTTTGGTCCAGCGCTGTTCAAAGCTGCACTTGGACAGATGTTTGGCACTGGGGATGGCGTTGGGTACGCCTCAGTGTCAAGTTGTACAGGTGAAGAAGCGACCCTGGCTGAGTGTCCTCTTATTCCATGGGCTATTGGTGACGAATGTAAACACCATATGGACATTGGGGTCATCTGTGACACGGGATCAAGTAAGTCATAAGTACTTGATTTTGTTTCAACAATTTCAGTAAACCAATTTTAGACTGGCATTCCAACATCGCCCAAAACTATAAATTATTCTCAAGATTGAAATTAATTTCACTATTGCGCCACAACAAGTGCAAGTAAGTAAATAGTCGAATGCAAATCATTTGCAGCAGCCCTTGGTTTTCTGCTTTATCTCAAATGAAATACCAATTGAGAACTTATCTGTGTTGCATTTTCTTCGAAAGAAGATAATCTGTGTCGTGTCATGTGGCTAAGTCATAAGTCATTGTCTCTATCGTGTCCAAAGGGAAAAGTTTCTTGGGTCTAGAGGAGGGAGAAATCGGCGATACAAAGTGTTTATCCCATTCAAACCCAATAAAGGTTACCCAATTTCACCAGAATTTCCCAGTCTGCTCACAGTCATGCCCACCAAAAGTGACGAGTGAGGTGCCGCATACAATGCCCTCCACAAAGATTGGGTTTAGTTTGCAGGATTCAGTGACCACCGGGCTCAACTTTTTTACAGAAATACTCCAGAGCTGTAATATTTGAAAACATTCATAGGTGGAAGTCAAATAAACAGTTTATTCATAACACAAACTTAAAGACCACTAGCCAGTGGATATGGTTAGAACAGAGACTTGGTATGGAGCAAGTTGAGAGATATATGTTTCAGTTGTTCTTCTCAACTATTAACATTTCTTGACTGAAAAAAATTGTTGAACATTTTGTGCTATATTTCGCCACTGTGGTTCACTTTAAGGAAAGACTGCTATCCGCCTCAGCAAAGAACAGTCACCAAACGAGGGCGTCCTTGAAGTGTTCTATAATAATGAGTGGGGCACTGTATGTGACGAGGGATGGGACGTCAAGGATTCCGAGGTCGTCTGTCGACAGCTGGGATATAAGGGAGTCAAGTACTGGAGATCCTCACCACAGTATGTCATTAATACCTCATTTTGTTTGTTAAAAATTAAAAAAAAAAAATTATTGTGTGAATTATGAATCATTTTTATTTCCTGCATTGGGTCACCCCTTTTATTCCACATGCACCAGCTGCCTTATTTATGAATGAACTACATTGACAGAAGGTTATTTAATTAAAGAGGTAGTCGCCATGCTGTTTTTGAGGTTCACCTTGAAAGTTGAGTTTTTATCAATTGCTATTTCCCAAGTAGTATAAAAGTTATTCACTATTGAATGAGACATTGAACAAAACAATCCATGGAATTATTGGCTGCCAGTCCATGTGCAAGTGAATCGGTCACTTGCACATGGATTTCAATTAAAAGACGTAGCGAACAGAGTTTGCTCTAACCTTACATACTCTTTGTGGACTTGTGAACAAAGGAGGTCCACAGGATACAGGAAACGTGAACACTTTTTGGACTTGTTCACATCCACATTAGGTTCCCCCTCTTTGGAAAACAGGTTTAGAGGCAATTTTGAGTAAGGTTTATCTGTCGCAAAATTAAGAGGAACATTCAAGGAAATCATGAAAAAACTATATTTGGTTGAAAGAGTGTTCAGTGGGAGTAAAATGATTTGTTTTTTGTTTTTTTCTCAACTGTACTAATACAAAGGAATGTCCACAGTAGGTATGTAAGATAAGCGGGGGGGGGGGGGAATAATCTCTCTCACTGAGCATTTAGAGCCACATTCGTAAAATGAACTACCAAATCAAAATATAAAACATAGGCTCATCCCATTGGCATTGCTATATGAGGGGTATCAGGGATGTCTCGCCCCTCCCCCCTCCCTCCCCCATATAGTTGGTTTTGTTGGCAAAATCGTTGCCCTGTCGGCAAATGTTAGTGTCTGTTGGCCAGTATGCGGCAATGAAAAGAGCCACATACCAATTGTCTGATAGTGTCCAAGATTGCCTGCTTTGAACAATGCCTCAATAGTCAATTAGTGTACCCCCAAACTCCCCCCCCCCTCCGGCGGCCACTCAACACCCCCGACCCAATCCCTCCCCCCCCCCCCCCCGACCCTTTCGAACAAGTTGGTATTTGTCTGCAATCCGGGACTCCCTGTTGTCCCGATTTGTTTGTACTATAACTTTTTAGGAAGACCTCCCATATGTTTTGCACACATCATTGCCAAATTGGGGACGTCGGGAATTGGGGACCCTGTTGTCCTTTTGTTCAACGTCCCCTATTGCATGCAGAAACAAACTCATCACCCCTTGACCCACTCACTACCCCTCCCCCCCCCCCCCCCCCGACCCACTTGCCACCCCCGACCCCCTCACCACCTCCTGACCCCCTCGCCACCCCCTGACCAGCTCAACACCCCCTGACCAGCTCAACCCCCCCCCCCCCCTTTTTGTTATTTATTGTACCACGACTGGCTGACTGGGAAAAAAAACATGGCAATGTTTCAGCACTGAGGGTTTGTCGGCAAGTTTTTTGTCAACAACTCTCCCCCCAGCCAATTCAAAGCGGTCTGGCTACGCCCTGTCAATATGATTTGATAATGTAGACAAGAGGCTGTAGGCTGGTATTGAGATTAATATTGTAGTTTCATGTCAAAAACTTTGTATGGCATTGAGTTGTGGCTTTTAAGAAAACATCTTAGAAAATCTCTCATTATATGCAGGCTTTGGTACAACTTGCACTTCGACCGGTTCATATCGGTCATGTTTAAAAACGTTGACTGCGAAGGCACAGAGGAATCTCTGTTTGACTGCCCCAAGTCGGACTGGTACGACTTTGATGATTTCTCGTGCACAGGCCATTCTGGCGATGTCGTCTTGGGATGCACTAAGGTAAGTTTAAGTTTGCCTTAAAATAAAGGTGTTACAGCAACTTTTATGTTGGTCAAAAATAGTGACACTGTAGAGTATAAAGCTCGCTGCACGTGAGAGCTGTCTGCTGAGCAAAAAGTCATTTGTGGCTGTTTGCCCAGCACGTAGCTCACCGTGCACAGTCAGCTTTTGTTGCGTTTTCTGCACCGTGAGGCAAATATCTTTCCTGTTTGCTTTTTTCGCCTTGCCAGGTTAAAAACTTAACGTGTGTGGGCAAGCTGAGCTACCTGCCTATCCAAAATAACTAGCCAATGAAAGCACGTACGCTATTCACGTGATTTAAAGATGGCTGCCCTTAACGAAAGTGTCCTCTAAAATAGCTCAGGTTGCCTGCACACAGTGAGTTTTTCGCCACCCGGAAAAAATCAAACAGGACAGATATTTGCTGCACGCGGCCTCACAAAGCAGAAAACGCATCAAATATTGACCACACACGGTGAGCTACATGCTGAGCAAATGGATAGCTCTCATGTGCAGCAGGCTTAATGTCTTGTAATAGTCATTCACACTATCATTTACAAATAGTTATCATTGCCTTAGAATTATTTGTGGTTAATTTAGTGGATCATTGGTGTGGATATATAGATGTGGAAAATTCATCACAGAAAAAACATAGCTACATTGAAATGTCAGTTTTTGCCTTCTTTATTTAAATTAATTATTTTGCTCTTTCAGTAAAAGATGTTTGGTATTGTGTTTGTTTACGTACTTTTATCTTTTGATTTAATGTTAGGCGAATAGAATAAAGCTGTCTTGATTTCTCATGATTTCCTTTTCATTTGATTTACTGTCCCGAGTTCAGAAGATATTGATTTGCAGCTGAGAGATCTAAATGTCGTAGAAACCGGCAGTGGCATTGATGTCCACATGACTTGCTCGAGGGAGGATCTTTTGATGTATGTGGATGCAGCGGAGGCACCAGTGTGGACATTGCCATCAGGCACCAAGCTTTCCGTCAGTAAGTATTCTAGAATAATACACCCTTTTGTCCCCCCTGCTTCCCCACCCACCACTGTCCCCTTTACCACTTCCCCCTCCCCCTATACCCCATTAAATACACCCTTCCCCTTCCCCCTAGACCCCTCCACCCCTTTCTCTACATCCCTCCCTTACTCTACGACCCTCTTCCCTCCACCCCTCCACGTACCTACAACCCTTTCCCTACACACCTCCCCCTACACGCCTCCCACCTACATGCCTCCCCCTGCATGTCTCTCCCTACACGCCTCCCCAGTCACCTCTCCACCCTACACCCCTCCACCCTACACTCCACCCTGCAGCCGTACACCCCTCCACCCTACACCCCTCCACCTACAGCCCTACACCCACAGCCCTGTACACCCCTCCAGCCTGCACCTCTCCAGCCTACATCCCTCCACCCTACACCCCTCCACCCCACACCCCTCCACCTTTATGGCTATATGGGTTTATGAATTCTGACTATAGTGGCCCCTGAGCAAAGATACTGACAATTTGGGAGGCCGCCAACATAGGGCAAGATAAGCTCAGTTGGTAGAGCGCTGGTACAGTCTTACAGAGGTCGCAGTTTCGAATCCCGCTCCTGCCAGTTTTCTTTGTTAACTTTCGTATTTTTGTAAAAAATAACAATTTAGAAAGGGAATCTGTTTTTAAGAATGAAATTCAAAAGTAGCGACTGATGTAACTTTCAATTGGTAAATGAATTAGCATTGTTGACCCTTATGTGCTCTGCGCCTCCACACCCTTTGCATGCAAGTTCTGGTTCTTGTATTGAGAGAAGTACACATTACTCATTTTATTGCTATCCTTCTGTGATTATCTGGCGCCGTTAGCAATGCATGAAGACATGGGCGTTATGAGGGGGGGGGGGGGGGGGGCAGGGAGGTCAGGGGGCGCTTGGCCCTCCCAAAGTAACATTGCTGTTAATTTAATGGATTTGGGAGGCAAATGTCCCTGCCCACCCTCGAAGAATTTTAAATGGAGAATATGCTGGAAAAGTACAGTGATTTAGGGGAGAAAATGCAGTTACCCCCCCCCCCCCCCCCCATGCATGAAGAGTCCAGCTCTCCCAGTGGTCTTCGTTACTTTCTCTTTGGTGCCGCTAAGGGTACTTGCGCACAGAGCTCATGTAATAATCTATTTTAAAATCATTTGGTAGACAAAAATGCAAAGTTGTCAGACTGCTAGTTGATAAATACTTATCAACAGGCAAAGCTTAAAATAATATATGCCCTGTTCTTTATTTAAAATTATTACAGGATACAGAGCAGGCAATGTTGAATGTTCTCAAATTGGTTTTGGAGTAGTTGGCAGCATCATGCTGACAATCACCGGTTTCACCGATGAACGGAACGCTGGTGTATATCTCTGCACAGCGGCTGGTTATCAGAAGAACGTCACACTGACTGAGGCTACTCTGGCTGTGTCTGGTAGGTTTAGAAATTGATTGGCATCGAAGACTTTAGAAGCTACTGAACAAAGAATTTATCTCACAACATCAACAAACAATTTGATCAGCATTTTAAATTGCCATTGTCTTTCGATAAATAAAATGTGGTACAATAATTTCTTTCTCTTCAGTGGAATTCCCCTGTGCTGAAGATGAATTTAACTGCGGGGAACGATGTGTACCACAACGGTTCCTTTGTGACCAAGACCAGGATTGTGGTAAGTGGTTATCAACGAAATAATTCATTGATAAATGCAGGAGCTTGATTGAAAACTCAACTTCTATATGGCAAAGCACCCAAGGAATTCATCATTGATTGAAAACTCTTACACATTTCATAAAAATCAATATTCGGTTCAAGAAAAAACAATTACTGGAGTGGGATATGAACCAGCGACAGCCAGAATGCCATACTATAGCTCAACCAACTGATATATCTAGCCCTATGTTGGCGGGTTCCCAATTTGTCAATGTCTTTCTACATGGAGCACACGTCAGAGATTGCACCCATAGTCACAATGCTAGTAGACTCCGTAAGCATGGCCATGTTTCGGTAAAAGGTCAAGTTTTACACTTTTTCTTGTTCAGTATTCGGTATATCAAGTTTCCTTTTGTAATTCAATTCAGCGAGGCTAAAGCCTCGATCATACGTTTACCATTTGCTACGAATGTCCTCTATTAATATCTCTCTTAAGCATGGTTTGTCAAAAATATGGACGGATTGGTGAAGAATTGGGACAGTACTTAGAAGAAAAATGACATTAGCTTCAAGGTTGTCTGCAATTGGGTCGCAGATGACCAGGGTTCTCCTACAAATGAAGATATTCGTAGTACCACCTTAGCAGAACCATGCACAGGTGGGCATTTTTGGACAACATTCGTGGCAAATTCATCAAGATTTACACCATGAATGAGCTACGAATCTCCAAAAATATGTACAAATTTATAGCCACGAAGAACACTGCAAATCAGTAGGGTTGTCCTAAGCATGTCCCATGGTTGGATCGATTTTTATGACGCTTCACCATGGAAGGTTTGAACATTTTAAACGTTTCGTAACCCCTCCACGAATACTCAAGGTGGATGACGGATAACCACGGATAACCACGGATGCACTAAGGATGATAAACTCCCAGGGTTTATCATGAATTTCAAACTGTGGAGATCCGTAGCTCTAAACAATAAATTTGTGACGGGGGCCTTTCTTGGGTACCCTTTTATCAAATCAGGATGAGTTGACACCGAATTGATTTATGTTGCATTCATAAATACCTAAGACAGTTTACGCATTCCTATTGGCCGAGAGCCCGTCACGTGGCCGGTCTTAAACGGATGATAAAGACATGGCTAGCTGGTCTTAAACACTTTTCCAGTGTCACAATAAAATGTGGACTCCTAAAAATCCAGTGCCTCTTATCGTTTCATTGGTTAAACGTTCACAATCCCCACGTAGGCATGCGCAACACTACCAGGGAGTCAGAATTTTATAGTTCTAAATTCAAAATGCAACTCGCCAGGTGCGTTCTGCGCGATTTGCGCAGAACATGATACGTGCCCGTCAATCTCCATAAAAGGGTTGTTTACATCTTACTCGCCAGCTGAACACTCCATTATTTTGCAAGAGGGATGTTTCAAAAAGCATAAAGTGAATTTGTTAAACAAAATCGGGATGTTCTGAACGAATTATACAAATTTTTTTACCGAAAAGGTATTTATGAATGGGAATAAATATGTGCTCCGTCGGTATTTATCACTCTGTTTAAGACCACTTAGAGGCTGGGTGCTGATAATTACCCTCGCCTCCGGCTCGGTTAATTATCAGCACCCAGACTCTAAAGTGGTCTTAAACAGAGTGATTTAATACCTCTCAAGCACACATTTATTCCCTTATTAAAACAGTTGACGGTCGTGATGAATTGGAGGAGGTGTGCTCACAACCCATGCCAACGTGTCCTGATGATGAGATTGCCTGTGACGGTGACTCTAAATGTGTCTCCATGTCTGCTGTGTGTGACAGAATCCCAGATTGCGATGATGGAACTGATGAAATGAACTGCGAAGGTAGGTTACAGCTTCAGTTTGTCACATTGGAGAAAATTTGATATTTTTTTTTCAAATGAATGGATGCATGTTAATTAGCAATCAGGGATTCATCATCATAATTCCTTGCAAGTCAATCACAAGTCCTCCAGTCCCAATTCAACTCACAAGCTATTCAGATGAGCTTTGACAAAGGTATTCCTTTGTTATATCCTCAGTTACTTGTGACTGGACTTGTGGTTTACTTGTGACTTGATTTGTGATGTGATGAACTTGTGATGGACTCGACTACATCCCTGGTAGCAATATGCAATATGGGATGGGCAGCATCTTCATTATTACGGCTGTACCCAAATTACCTGGCTGTGGCTGACAGTAATGCACACGTCTGTGGGAATTGCCTGGCTAGGGCTTGCAGTAATGCACACGTCTTAGGGAGTTACCTGGCTACGGCTTGCAGTAATACACACGTCTATGGGAATTACCCGGCTACGGCTTGAAGCAATGCATATGTCAGGGAATTACCTGGCTACGGCCTGTAGTAATGCACATCTATGGGAAATACCTGGCTACGGCTTGCTGTATAATGCACACGTCTATGGGAATTAACTGGCTACAGCTTGCAGTAATGCACACGTCTATGGGAATTACCTGGCTACGGCTTGCAGTAATGCACACGTCTATGGGAATTACCTGGCTACGGCTTGCAGTAATGCACACGTCTATGGGAATTACCTGACTACGGCTTGCAGTAATGCACATTTATGGGAATTACCTGGCTACGGCTTGCAGTAATGCACACGTCTATTGGAATTATGGTACCTGTCTATGGCTTGCAGTAATGCACATGACTATGGGAATTACCTGGCTACGGCTTGCAGTAATGCACATGACTATGGGAATTACCTGGCTACGGCTTGCAGTCATGCACATGACTATGGGAATTGCCTGGCTACGGCTTGCAGTAATGCACACGTCTATTGGAATTATGGTACCTGTCTATGGCTTGCAGTAATGCACATGACTATGGGAATTACCTGGCTACGGCTTGCAGTCATGCACATGACTATGGGAATTACCTGGCTACGGCTTGCAGTAATGCACACGTCTATTGGAATTATGGTACCTGTCTATGGCTTGCAGTAATGCACATGACTATGGGAATTATCTGGCTACGGCTTGCAGTAATGCACATGACTATGGGAATTACCTGGCTACGGCTTGCAGTCATGCACATGACTATGGGAATTGCCTGGCTATATGGCTTGCAGTAATGCACATGACTTGGGGAAGTTGATATGCAGTGTGAGTCCAAAAAAAACTATACACTTTTAAAATTGGTCATAGTTGTATTATGTAGCAATACAGATAAGATATTTTCATATGTACTTTTAAAGTAACTTTTCCTGCTTCTTTTGGTGACATTTTCACTCAATTAGTTTTCCTGCATGACTGCACAGGAGACAATTACAGGGGTCGGTGAAATCTGACTTGGGCCAACTGTTCAGGGCTGGATAAGAATGAGACAACTTAAAAGAACACAACCATTGTCTTGGTTCTGGTCATGGAATGCATAATCAGTTTAGATTTGTTGATCTTGCTTGCAAGAGTTTCAGTAGGCAAATCTGGATTACCTCCAGGAAAGGATAACTCATGAAATTGACATTCTCAGACAAGACAGGGAGGTGATTCGCCGTGCTGTTGCAGGAATGATGCGCCGAGCCCAGCTGTGCATTGAACGAGATGGTGGCCATGTTGAGGACTAAGACACCCTGGAATTTAATTGCCTTTTTAATTTAATTTAAACGTTTTAAATAAACACGAAGTTTAAAAGCTAATGAAATTCTGTTTTATCTCTTTGTTAGACAATTATGGTTGTGTTCTTTTCAATTGTTTCTTTCTTATCCAGCCCTGACCAGTTGGCGCAAGTCAGTTTTCACCCGACCCCTTTAATCTCCTGTACAGGCATGCAGCATGAAAACTAATCCATTGAAAATGTCACCAAAAGAAGCAGGAAGAATTACTCTAAAAGTAGATTACTCTAAAAGTAGATATGAAAATATCTTATCTATATTGCTACATAATAAAACTATGGCCAATTTTAAAAGTGTATAGTTTTTTTTGACTCACACTGTATGTCAAGTAATTGTTCTCCCTATCACAAAAAAAATATGACAAAATGCAAAATGTTCTCAAAGAAAGAGACTTGTTCCATGCTGCACGCAGTTGAAGGCCTACATGTGTAGTGTGTAAACTGTAAAGTGTAACATGAATATTCATATTCTCCTGATTCTTAACCAATAAACCAATCAGACTGGTCCATTCCAAATCTGGTAGCAATACGTTGTGTACAAAGCCAAGAACAAGTTATTCGAGCTGGTAAATGCAATTACCGTACATGCTTATTGAGATCAAGGATTGCACAAAGCCATTTCCGCGCCCGCATGCAAGTGCCATGCTTTACATTACATGTAACATATAGTGGGATGATGCAGTATATCAGGTAGCTGTCCAAGACAGCGCGGTGCGTGACGGGCGAACAAAACCAGGCTTAATTACTGACTTGATTTCAAGTCTCAGTGCTTAAATGGTGCAGTTTGCCATGAAGTCCATGCCCTGTCATCCTTAAGACAAAATCTTACAGCTGTAAAGACAGGCAGCCAATTGTCAGTGTCTAACTGCAACTGCGTCCCATATAACCCCTTCCCCCCCCAAAAAAAAACGACCTTGAGATTTATTTCTCGGGATCTGGGCCCAATTTAATGGTGCTGCTAAGCACACTCATTTCTGCTAACACTAGACCCACCATTTATTGCGTGATTAAATCAGTAATGTAACAATAGATACCTGCTTACAAACACAGCCGTAAACCATGCCATGAACAAAGTGCTTAGGGTTAGCATAACTTTCTGCCATAGTCAACACAATTGTTCCTGCTGTTAAGCAGCGCCTTGAAAATGGCCCTTGGTCAACTATTTGGAAAAGAACAAAAACGGCCAGTTAACATCTTGACGCATATCCTTCCAGCTGCTGTTACTCCAGGACCATTTCCACCATCGTCATGTCCTGATGGCCTCATCCCCTGCCCAACAAGTGACCAGTGTATCCCACCATCTGCCATGTGTGATGGCAATCCGGATTGTAATGACGGCATAGATGAGATGGCTTGTGATGAGGGTGGTGCCGGTAAGATCTCAACATTCCTCATCATTAATCCTAGTCTGGGTCCAAGACGGAATTTCAAAGGGTGGGAGTTGCTACTTGTCCCTTCTCGTATCAGAAGCTGAATTGCGAAGAACCCAATTTCAAATTTTGAAGGTTTTCAGCTTTAGACCCCGTTCCCACTTGATCCACCAATTGGGGGATCTGATCCACCTTTTGCCAAATTGCCGGATCAGATCCCCCAATTGGTGGATCAGATCCGGCAATTGTGTGTAGTGGGAACGCTAACCGTTATAAGGTGGATCAGGATCAGATCCACCTTTTCTGATCCACCTCTGGACCAGGATACAGATCCCCCAATTGGTGGATCAGATCCGGCAATTGCCGGATCACGATCAGATGGGAACGCAAAAGGTGGATCTGATCCGGCAATTTGACCTGTTAACATCCGCCCGGTGCACGAGTGGCGCGAAAATGTTGCGGTCTCATGAACGAAGAAACACGTTTTCAGGCGTGTAGCTCATGTGAACATTTCCAGCGTATACAACATGCACAATAAACAACCGCTGAACTACGGGCTAGCACCGCGCATGCAAAAGCGCACGTGGTATCCTAAACTACACTATATAGGCCTTATTTTTGTTGCGTGTTCGTCCATTACTAAACCTTTTTCATTCCTGAAATTTTACTTATTTTTCCATCCATAAATGACTCTGAGTCCGCACTCACCAAAAGACTTCACTTTGGCACAGAATCATGGAAAAGCTTACGAGTATGCAATGAGAATAGTGCCGATAACACGGTACGTACGGAGGTGACAAATCTGAAGTATTGATTATAGAAAATTGGAAATTGATGTCGTAGTACATCTTGTGACCGTTTCTAACCAATGAGAAGCTTCAGAACCAGGGAATCCCTTATCGATGCATTGGTTTCTGCCGTGATGTCACACAATGAGCGGCTCTGTTGGGTTTCACCTGTTACTTTATGCACGCACGGATCCTCTACGGATCCGTGATTTATGTTGGTGAATTCGCGTATTTTTTGTCGGTGAATTCTGATAGAGCTGTTTGAAAACTGACCCATCCTGGCCTAGCATGCAACCATGCAACAATGGCACTCCCACAGAGCGCGCGTAATTCCGAACTCGGTGACCTTTCGGACCCAACATTTCCGTACGAAAAGGTGGATCAAGCATAAGTGGAAACGCGACTTGCGGTTTCGTTGCGGTAAGATAACGATCACACCAAAATGCTGGATCTTGATCCACCTTTTCCCAATTCAAGTGGGAACGCGGTGTTAGATTGGTGTTAGTAACATGACCCTATCGCCCCCTGGGTGAAGGATTAAGAGGAAAAAAGCCAGACGACCAAATTGTGAGACAAACAGATCCCGTTTGTATAAATTTCTTTACACGTTTGTTTCCCACTTCATCAACCAAAGACACACTTCTGCTTGATGGTGGTTATCTTTAGAGCTAGCCCCGAAATGACTTCTCCAACTGTGTTTGGTTTTCATAGGATCAGATCTCATTTGTCATTATTTTCTCTACAGTTCTTTCAGGTGTTAACAACTGTCCTGATGGCAAGTTTCCATGTCCTGGTGAAGATAAGTGTATCTCCATATCTGACGCCTGTAATGGAGTCAATGACTGTGCAACTGGTGTGGATGAAATGAACTGTAACGCAACCTGTAAGTTAAACTAAATTTTTGAGTTCACCCTTTTTCCTTTTCTAAATTGCTATTTTTTAAAGCCATTCCAAAGTTTTTTTTTTCACTTTGAATGAGACATTGACTGAAAAAGTCAGCCCATGATTAGTTGTTAAATTGTCACTTGACAATTTCAAATTATTGGACACCAGACAATAATTCCATTATCATGGGGTAGGCTGGTTTCAGCCCACAATCAGTATCCATAATGTACGGAACGGACCGGGAGCCAGTCTGTTTGCAAAACACAACTGATTGTGCCCAAAATAAATATCCTTTTTCAGAAGGTTGCAAATGTCAAACAAAAGGTGGAAAACGAGGTTGTTTGGTTGGAATGATTCTGCAAGTTTGAAATTTATTAATAGAAACAAATCAAATTTGTTGAAGAGTACTGGGTACGCAACTTGAAGAAAAGCATCCCTTTTAGATTAAAACCAACTTGTCGGCTTGGTTTGTAAATGAGAGGGCATTCTCGTTGGACTTGAGACAAGATCTGAATTGCTCAACAGAACTGTTTTAACTTTCCAATTTCCGGTTTTATTTTCAGCTTGTGTGCCCATCAGCATTCCAGAATGTGCAGTCGGCTTGGATTACACAGAAACCATGTCCACCCACAACACCGGTCTCTCTCCCGAAGACGTGGCCAATGTGTTTAGTTCTCTATCGACCATCTTTGAGAGCGGATGTGCTACCTTCTTCAGACCCTTTATGTGTTCTACCTTTGCCCCTCCGTGTGGTCATGTCCCACTCCCACCGTGCCGTGAATTATGTGAGGTTTCTGTCAGGAGGTGTCTGGAAACCTTCGAGGGAACGATGACGGAGGAGCAGTTGATGCCACAGGGAGGTTTTGGCGGTGCTGGTTGTGATGTGTTTCCTAGTCAAGACGATGGACAGTGCTACAATGGTATTAAAGGGCGCATCTCAATTTATAATCCAGGATGAGTTCCAGATAAGTTGCGGGTAGAATCGTTTACTTTGTCCGGAAGAAGCTCTGCATTTGTCCCAGATGTCGTTTCCGGGGAAATTTCCTTTGGCATCTGCTGGACTGAAGGAAGATTGCGAAGATGTTGTTCCGAATCTTGCAACTTATACCTGATAAAATATCCACAACTTGTCCTGAATTGGCCTGGATGTGAATTGAGGCAGGTTCTTAGCAGAGTATGCTAGCTTAACGCTCAGCCTTCACATAGGCTGAAATTAGACACACAAATGATAAGACGTAAACTATTGCACAGTAAATTTTGAATTTTGCAATGCACTTACATGTATTCTGATTCTGCAAAATGTGGCCAACAGTTGCAAGATGTCCAATGTATGACTGTAATAGCACCCTCAGCATCAAGTTGGGCATCTTGGATATCTGAACAGAGGAAACGTATTCTGAAAAGTCGAAGATCAGAAAGGCATCTTTGTGTAATGCAACAAATGAATGTTTGGGTTTATCAAATACCGCTTGGTGCTTTTCACTGCTGCAAATGTGCTGGCTTTTTTGCACTGCCCTAGTTATACTTAAACGCCGGACATCAGAAAAAAATCAGAACGAGGTGGTTTTTTTTCTAACATCAGAAATACCAGACTTGTGTTTGGCCCAATGTTTTCTCCTGATGCACCTTCTGGTGTCCATTTTTCTCTCTGTGCAGTGAAAGAGGTCTCCGTTGGTGAAGTGGCGGGCTTGGGCTCAGAGGAAGGCGTCGGCGTTTCCGTTGACTGTACTTACAACCTGTTGCCCGGTATCCAGCCAAAATGGACCACACCCGACGGATCCAAAGTCAAAACTGGTAGGCAATTCATTCCTGAAAATGAGTCGATACTAGACCGATCCGTTGCACCCCCATCTACTGCACACTTGATTGCACTTTAGAATACTCATGTGGGGAAGATCTGTGTATGTGCTCATAGTGGAAATGACACTTAAAGATGTAGTTCGATGGACACAAAAAATGGATGTTTTTCTTTTCAGTTGCTTCCTTCCAAGCAATATGCAAGTTATACCTATTTACAAATTGGCATTGTTGGCTGCTCACACAGAGATGATTTGTTTACAAACTGAAAGGCCTTTAGTAGAGGGTTGCAAACGCCCAAAATTGGAATAAAGTAGTTTTTTCTGTTAAAATTACAAACCACAAAAGTTGAAAATTAAGTAGAAAAGAAAAAAATCATTTTTGGCTTGACGAAGAGCAGTTGTATTTTTACTGATGTAGGTATGTGATATTCTGGCTGGTCATACTTCTTTCTTTTTTGTTTTACATCAGGAGACACGAGAACGATCCGAGCTGTCTACGTATCGGACACAGTGACTCGTTTGCAGATTGACAACCTCCAATCCAGACGCAAAGGTGTGTACACCTGCTCCGGCCGGGAATACTCGGTGACTGTTGAGCTGTAAGATGGCAAGCACGAACCCCTGCGTCACATTACTTAATTGATTGGATTTGGCAGACCACGTCACCTGTTTACAAATTTGGATGTTGTGGTAACGTGATGTCAACTTTCCGCATACTGTAACCATTTTGCACGGCGTTTATATCTCTTGAAATATGGGTTGTTTAAGAAACAACAACATTCACTGTTAAAACCCTCCTGTTGTTCAAACAGTCACAGTCAGTCAAACAAATCAATCCTCTTCCCCTGCTATGCCTTGAACACAGGGTAGTCAATATCACTCAGATCATATTTCAAGCAAGCACTCTGACTATTCAAACTCAGTCAACAGACAGAAGCAGGCAGGAAGCAAACACAGCTGGTTTATCAATCACCCACAGTCAAAGCTGGCTTTAAAACAGTCACTTGATTGATTTTGACTGAAAGGACAACTTGGCGCAGAATGTATGTTTGCATAGGAGGGTTAATGTGGGCAAAATAACTTGAGAAAGACGCTCACACGTAGGCGTTTGTTTTTCAGTTGATTGGCCGTTGGCGTGAATTTACAGGTGACATGGTTTATTCAATATTAGCAGTATCTATTTGAATATATGTACCATCAATGAGTTGATATGACGTCAACAGGTATTGAAGAAGGAATTTTATAGTTCACATCACTTTTGCAGTGTAATCGTTATGTCTGCATAGATACTACTTGCCTATGTTACATATTGTATACGCAACTTTAATTTTTATAAGATTATACTTTACGATGTGTTAATTAACCACCAAGGGATGAGTAAATTGGGCAGATGAGGGACTGCAGGTTTTCAGAAATTAAAATTGAACAAATAGTTCTGAAATAATTACGTATGATTAGAAATATCGTTGGAGTATTTTTTATACTGGACATCAATCAAGATTGGAGACTGGAAACAAAATTGTCTTCGTGCGCCTGCACACAAAAACACCCCTGTGACTGTGATGTCAAGTTTCCCTTCCCTGACGTTGAAGCACTTTCTTCAAAACTCACTAAGGACCGTTAGAAATAATACGCGTACGGGACACGTGTGCGGCAAAAAAAAAGTGCCTTGTGTTTGATAATTTCACCAGGCCCATATATCTACATTTCATTATTTTGATGCGAGATGTACAGGGTGAGTAAAAAAAAAAGCGGAACCCAAAACCCATAAAATACATTTTATATTTAAAAAAAAACATGTAGCACCAAAAATTATAATGACTGGAAAGCCAATCTCATAAGCTACTTTTAGATGAAAAAATTACTGAAATTGCTCAATCCGTTCAAAGAATATCACCATTTAAACACAATGACCCTTAAACCTGTCTTGTCCCCCAAAAAAGCAATTCATTGTGTGTTTTGACTGTTTGGAACAACAAAGAAAATGACACAGAACACTTGTTTCACCAACTGTAGTACACAATATCTTTATTAACAACCCTGGTTAGGCAAACAATATGATTTATAAAGTCCACTTTTTGTTAAGGACGGGCCTTCAAAGGGATTCTGTTGAATTTTTTGAACGTTTAAACTGAGATTTTATCACTGGTGATGTTTGATGACAATTGCTTCTTAAAATCATATTTTTTTTTGGACGAGACAGGTTTTAGGGTCATTGTGTTTAAATGGTGATATTTTATAAACAGATTGACCAATTTCAGTCATTTTTTTCATCTAAAAATACCTTATGAAATTGGCTTTCCAGTCATTGTTAATTTTGGTGCTACATATTTTTTTAAGCATAAAATATAATTTTGGGGGTTTGGGTTCCGCTTTTTTTTTACTCACCCTGTACATCGCTGATGATATGGCCGTTCAAATTAGAACGCAGAATAGTGATTTAACACATGAATTTTCTGAGCTACATACCGGTATTTCTAATGGTTCTTACCATGTTTGTGTCTGGAGGGGCAGGTAAGCTATCTGATATTTTTCGTCTTACTACACAAGCAGAAAAGGGGTGGGGTTTTTCTGTCCCAAGTCATGATAAATTTGTGAAACACAAAAATGTTTTAAATATTCAGTTATTTTATATCTACAGCATTATTCCTATAAGTAACATGGGTGATACTAATTCTTTGTGCTTGCTGAATGCTAATTCCCTCTGACAGTGTGTTGTTGGACCTCAAGGAAAAAATTGAAATAGTTTGTTGCATATATACTGCAGTTTGTACTATAGCATTTAGCAAAAATCATGTTTTGCTTATGACATTGTTTTGCTTAAACTGTGTACTTCTATTTTTGTTGGTACAGTGGAACGCCACTACATCCACAGAAAATGTTTGTAATAGTGATCGTTTGGTATAGCGAATTTAAGCTGCCGGTGCTCCGGTACTCACTTTTCAATAAAAAGCATCCTTCAGAACTTCACCCTGAACACCCTGGTAGTTACTGAAAGACGACTTTGAACAAGTGCCGACTATTGAATTATGTAATTAACTAATTACACAGCTTGTAAGCATGGGCGTCGCGAGGGGGGGGCAAGGGGGGGCACTGCCCCCCCCCCCCCCCCCTGGAAAAGCACCACAAAAAAAAAGGAAGAACAAAAACGAAAAGAAAAAGAGGCGCGAAGACAAAGTGGTGTAAATTTAATGAGTTGGGGGGGGGGGGGGCAAAATGGCCCTGCCCCCCTCTAAAACTGATAAATCGAGAATGTGTTGAGAAATACAAGCATTTTTTGGCAAAATTTTTTTTTGCCCCCCTCTGGAAAAAATCCTGGCGACGCCCATGCTTGTAAGCAATACTACCTACATCGATGGGTGGCTTTCCCCTTCTATTCATTGGGGAAATAACAGCCACTTGTCGCTCTTCTGTCGAAATGCTCAAGAATAATGTTCGGTTGGCTTTGTACACAAAAATCGGGAGGCAAAGACAATGTTCGACATAGCCGAATGTTCGGTATAGTAAGAAAGTGAACATATACAAACATTTTGTTGGCATGGATTCTGTGACTACCACTTTGGCTTTTGTACCTGTGCATGTAACTCATCTTTAATGTGTTTATGATTGCTGTTCCATCATACAGAATTTTAGAAGCGATTTTGTAAGTAAAGTTTAGTATAATTTACTATTTTACTAACTTACCTTGAGTAGAGCATTATTACACATTTTGAGAAAAGATTTAAATGTCCGAGTGCCTGTACTGTCACAATTGCTTCATACATCACTGGACTTTGAAATTTGCCACACAAATAAAATTTATATAGAACTCAAATATAATACAATAAAATATAATTAAATTGCTTGTAGTTTAATGTCAACAATTTTCTCCCTCTGCGAGGCATACAATGACTTACAATGTTAGTTTGTTTGAATGCTTGGTTACTTTCATGTGCTTTGTGATACCTATATGTTGTGATACAATAAACAATTTTTTATGCAAGAAATTTGTATTAAATTAATGTGATGTTTATACATGAGCATTTTTCCCTTGCAGAAGTCTTCTTGAAAAGACAAAGTGTACATACCCACACAGCCACACAGCCACACAGCCAGTGATAAATTTATTGTGATTATTCAAGCATGCTACTTTTCCTCGGATAGGCTGATTTTGTTTCATTTTTTTGGTTCCCATGTCTGCCATTAAAAATGGACAAATCCTGTGCAAAGTCTTCTAAATCTTAATATTTCCTCTTTTTTTGAAAGCTTCCCATATCTGGCCATCACTTGTCACCCTGTGCAGAAACCCTATGAGCCTGGTCTGAAAATGTCTGTGTTTTCTCGGTAAATACTTCAATATTTTCCCTTCTAAATTTTATTTTTTAGGACATATTAGTTTCTGATGGCTAATAGGTCACTGAAGGGAAAAATTAATGATGGCCAGATATGGGAATGTTTCCCTCTTTTTTTCCTTTTTTTTTACAAGCTAGGTTATAGTGCAAACCCAGCATGATTGCTGGTTTGTGCACGTGCACCGGTAACATTACAGTTCTGTAGCTGACATTAGGTAAATGTGTGTGTGTTTTGGTATGGTTCATCGCATGATATTATGTTGTTTGAAGAGGGAACTAGCTTTTCCTCTGACACCCACCTGAGAGGAAACCACACACCTGTCGCTTCCTGGGTTCAGGAAGACAACCTGTTTCTGTTTATTATCACAGTGTCTCTGCAACAGATAAGCTTTTGTCACGCACGAGAAAGTGAAAGTGCACAGCAAGGCTGCATCAGTTGAAGGCCAAACAAACTTTTGGTAATAAATAAAGAGTTGAACCTTGATGTACTGACATTGACCTTGGTGATTAGTGGTACCTGGTACAAGGACTTCCAGCTGACTAATATTGATTCAGATCGGAGTCACGTAAAGCCTGACATCACAGCAAGATGTGATCGATGAGACATAATGCACATAGGTTAACATCATGTGAAGCATAACTAATGTTGACATATGTTGAAGAACAGAATCTCTCGGTTATTGAATGATGGACTGCATATGAACTTTCTTTTTGCGAAACGAGATCAATGCCATTTTAGTTCTTTTTAGAATGCCGCCCTCTGCTGGTTGCCCAAAGTCAGTTTCAACAGTTGTTAAAAAAAAGTTGGACTGAATTACAGCTAGACTACAGTAAAGCAATAAAATGTAGTTGCAAAAAAAAAAAAGCAATCATACAATGTGTGTTCTATAAGTTTCAATACTAATATTACATTTTTACCTTTTTTCAGTTGGATATATCATGGTTTGGATGAATGCCAATGTGATCACTCACCACTGAGTAAATTGGGGTTATCCCTACAATGAATAAGTAGTACACACGTGATTCGGCGGTCATTACTGTGCCAACGTATCAAGGCTTAATACTTAGTAGTACACAGACATTATTATTTATATGCAGGGCATTTGAAATTATGGGGATTGTTTTTGAATTTCACTGGAAAGTATGCATGTATAAGAAATGAAAGATGTTTGCTTATAAATAGTAACTCCATAATACACTCATTGATCAAACCATGTTTCATTACAATCTGCCTGTACTTTACTTTACACGATATGTAATAATGATAATCAATTCTGTTAAAATATAATCAATTCTGATTACAGCATACTGACCTGCCTGTTGTTTTTCGTGCCCCAAATGCTCAACCTTGAGGCCAAAGGCCGAGTGGTATGCAGGGCACAGACGCACTACATTTTCCGTGTTCCACGAACGCGAGCGTGTAACGAATTTATCTTCAAGCAAACTTGACGCACTAAAAAGATTGACCATGCACGCTGTCTACAAACTTTTCAGCGGTTATCCTATTGCACGTGCGTGTTGTACGGAATGGCGCTCGCATCTTTGAAAAGCGCAATACGCGGAGTGCGGTATGGACCGGGGCCATGCTACATGGTTATATGTAGCACGGCTTATTGCCATGGATCGACCAATCACAGTCGAGGATACAAGTTTACTTGAAGATAATACTTGATTTTGCACAACAACACAGCCCATGAAAAAAATATCACTCGATCATGGTTTATTAAGTTCTGGGGGAAAAAATGAACAGTCAACAAGATAAAGAAGTCCCAAATCCAAAACGGGGGATATGGAGGCGACATCTGATAGAAATTCTGGTCCGTGAGATTCCAATTTTGCCAGATCATGGGATATCAGCAGAGCTGACAGGTTGAACACGTACCACTTCCACAAAGTCACTGCCGAACCAGCAGGTCACGTGAAGCGTGTCAACCGTGAAGAAGTACAGCCGGTCCTGACAGTTATTCCGACGGTAGGTTGATCTCGGGTCAGCCTCCAGAATCTTGCAGATGGCTTGCTTAGCCTCTTGCTGGTCCAGAAGGAATTCTAGCTGGAAATTTGGATCTGAAAATAAATGAGAAATTATTGGCTTTACATTAAAAATGTATTCAATGGAATTTGGGGTCCACCTTCTTCCCTGTCCCTTTTACATCTGACATTTATGATTTTATAATTCTGATGCACTCCTTAATGCAGTCGTCCTTCAAGACTGATTACGAATAGCAAACCTACGAAACAAATAAAACATTGTTTGAAGTCATTCTTAATGATACTTGAATGGCAAATTACAAAGTACCAAGGTAACAGGGACGAAAAAAAATGTCACAGTTTGGACCCCAAATTTATAGAATGAGCCATTCACAATAAAGCACCTTCCCAACTACCTCTCATTTTTGAGAGTTGGTGGAGGGTTTGGTTTAAAACATAGATTGAAAAAGTTTGACTTTTATTTTAAATTTTAGCCCACGGAGGCTGTTTTTATTGAAAACAAATGTCAAGTTCATTGTTGCAATGGACAAACATAAATCACTAGCAGTATCACATACTGGTGCTTGTTTAGTTTGCTATTTTGTTTTTGCTCAGTTAATGTTTTTTTTTTGGGGGGGGGGGGTTTGGGGGGGTCTTTTTGTTTTTTGTTGACTTTGTTATTCTGTACTGAGAAATGGACCGATCCAGTAAGATCCGCCCAGTGCACACGTGGGCAAATTAACACGTGCTCGTCTCCCTTGCCACGCTGCATTTTCCTTCTGCGCATATCATACGTACACGTGCACGCACGTCGGACATAAATCACGGCCGTGATTGGTCAGAACACCTTGGGGCGGTGCTTACTGGATCGGTCCATTGTTGTGCTTTGCAACAGGTCAACAATACTAGCAAGACAGATCTGAGCAGAGTTTGTTACAAAAAGTCTATGTTTACATGTACTTACCACTACTTTCTTTCTTGAACTTCCCCAGTTCTGCTTCCGCATGTGCAGTGAACCTAACATCCAGCGTCCTAATTGGTGGACAGTGGATCCAATCAGCTACTCCGACCTCTGAACCTTGTGAATATTCATTGTCCCTCTCCCCTCCAGTGTTAGCACTTGCTGATATTTGCCTGTGGGCCTTGCCGTCTGAGGTCACACTGGACCCTGCCGACTCATTCAGTCTGTCTTGAGTGTTTGGCACAACTCGTTTCCGATTCTTGGTTGATCCTTGACTGCACACCGACAGGTTTTGTCCAGCCACTTCTCTTCCTTCTGTAGACACTGCCTCCTTAGTATCACCCTGACTATCCCTTAATAATTCATCCTTGGGAGTTGCTTCAGAATTATCGGGCACACAACCAGAGTTAATAAACGACGACCGACCATGTTGAATACAATCAGGATTATCATAGGATGGCACATATGGCTTGATGTCAAGAACTGGTGTGCCATCGATGATATCAACACCGGACAGATGCAAGGTACTGCCTGAGAGAGTAAAGAGAATGAAACACTCGTCAAGGGCTACAATACAACAAAAACATTTAGCAAGGAATAACAGCATTGATACCCAATAGGTTCTTCACAGGTTTAGCAAATAACAAATGGGGCAACAGCTCCTGTAAATTTAGAACAAAGCAGGAGCGATGACATCATGCTTTTAAACTAAAATTCCATTTTTAAAATCTGAAAGGACTGATTCTAAACTATGTCCCATTTTCTTCTCAGCACCTCAATTGAGTCTCTAAGATTTTGTTTGCATTTTATAAGCACTTATTTATTATCATTAAACCCTTTGGATCAAACAGCACTACATAATTCAACTAATGATGTGGATAAGGCCAAGTAAAATAACAAACCAGTTTCTCGTACCCACACGCTTCCTTTTTCCCACCTGCCTCTTTTTCCCCCTTTTTTTAAATTCAAACATTTGCAATATATTTTGCACATACATTGTCAATATCTTTTTATTTGTTTCTAACAAAATTGTTGCTACGTATAAGAGTCAAGAAAATGGCTGAATCCATCTGTCATCTTGAAAAAATCTGCCATCTTCGGAAAAAAGGGCCTGCCTCCATTTTATCAAAAAGTGAGGAGGAGACACTATTCTTTGTTTTAGCTTGGCCCCAAACAATTGCAGATTGAACATTTGAATACCTTGAATTCTATCCAGCTTGGCTAAGGTCAGGCCGATAGGATTGGGTCGATGCGGACTGCGACTCGCAAATACCCCAACCTTGGCTCCATCCAAACGAGGCGGCTTGACTTTGGCCTTGGTGAACTTCCGATCGCCATTCTTGTGGAAGATGAACAATATCCTGTAAGACAGAAGAGGTGATTTGGAGTGATAAATTGATAAAACATACAAACTGTGGCATATCTTTTCATTATATTTGTCAACAAATGACTTGATTGGATCAGATATAAGTGTATTTAATTCTGTGGATGAACTATGGGGCTGTTTGCTGTAAGATGTTCTGTAATGAAGAAAATCAAAATCAAATTCCTCTGTGGACAAATTTGGAGATATATTTTTAATTTGCTTTAAACACAATATCCAGTAAAACATAAACCAATCCCTCCCCTCAATAAAATTGTCAACAAAAACATTTCTTTAGCCCTAACAGTCCCAAATCCTCCAATTTTAACCCCAAGTCCCTGGCATGATTTACTAGGAACCATACCCATCCTGGCAAATTCCAACACCATATGGGAAACTGCACACACATATTTCTGACTTTGTTTCTGGAGGTGTGCCAACCCAATGTAAAAGACTGTCAGTTTAGTGGTACTTTGTACCCATCCTGACAGATTCAAAACAAAACATGCTGTTGGGGTTTGATAGGTTGAGTTCTGTTAGGGTTAATAAGCTTTTTCACACACCCTAGAAGGGCTGTCTCGAATATTTGAATGTTCAATCATCAACAGATTATTCGAATAGCATTTTAGCTGTTCGAATATTCAAAGAAAAAAATGATTCATGTACATGACTGTGATGTGATTTTAATCATAAAGTTGCAGCGCTTTATTGTCGGCTGGGGCACTTTGCGAGCAACATCTGACGGGCGAAGCATGCTGTTGCATCTGGCGTGTATAAACTTGATCGGTGTGTTTCGAATATTCAAATATTCTGTCAAACGCAGCTTCAAATAATCGAATACTAAATTATTAGAAAACAGACAACCTTACACTCTAGTGGGTAATAGTACCATACCCCAAACATAAACATGTGACAGTTTTGAGCCTTACCATACATGGGAAAATTGACCTAAACCCTGAATGGAATGTTCCGGATTGGGGAAGACTTCCTTCAACACTGTCAGCTTTGCTCTTGAAAACGCACAGACTGATGGCTGCCGGGGCGTTCCATTCTTACTCTTGAAACACGACTGAATGAATCCAATAGGTGAGCCAAGGATATCCTGGTCATTGGTGGCACTAGTTTCTTCTGACTTGCAGTCCGCCAGTGATGCATGGCCTTGTCTGGAAGGAACTGGACTCTCTCTACTTTCCATGTTACAATAAGGTACCACGTTCCTCTGCTGAAAGATCTTGGTCGAGGTGCTTAGAAATCTTCTTACCCTAGAAGAAAAAGAAAAAATCAGCAGCAGTTCATGAACATATATTCAAATGATATAACCGAGATAGCAACTCTCCAGTCAATTATTATTACATGTACATATGTAAATATTTACCTGCTTAAGCCTAAAGCAGACAATGACCCTGAGTGCAAGCCAACTTCACTCGCTCTTTAGTGGACAAATTTCTCTACAGTTTTCATGAGGCAAAGACAAGATCCTCAGTATTTCACCAGCCAAGTTTGAGGTCTCAATTCAGATTTTAAAGAAGACTTTAATTTTCTTCAACATTTTGTACCCGAGAGTGAACCCAAGTGATATCAATTTGAAACGAAAGACTAGAGTGGTAAATGTCCAGTGGTAAAATGTTCCTAAAAGGGAACAAAATCCACTTTATAGTTATTAGACCTACCAAACGAGTTGGTGACATTCTCAATAAACAGGTACAATGTATGTCACTCATAGATAGAGGGCAGGGTTTTGATTTTTTGAGGATAATTTGGGGATAAAATGACGATGACAGTGCGGCGACAACACACAACCCGAAAATAAAGATGGCAAAACACTGCGCCATGTACCGTGAGCACACACGGCGTGCTGAATCGCAAGGCACAAACCGCACAGGATAATCGTGATTTCTACCCCAAGAAACTGTTCAAAATTGCAAAACGGGTGTCATTAGAATTGAGAATTGAGAAAAGTCTGCTTTTGATTGTAAGGTGATTTTTGAGCAATAAAAAACATTCTTGACTCTAATTTGATCAAAACAAAACAGGGGCCCTACACTACACGATCGCCCAAAACAGGCATGACAGGGGCCCTACACTACACGATCGCCACAGACCAGCATGACCAGTCTCATACAATTTTCATAGGGTTTGTGTACACAGGCATGACAGGTGTCAAGTGGCGTAGGTATATGGAATTCTTTCCGGAATTTCTATAAACTGAATGTTTTAAGTATTTTTTGATAACCTAAGTTACAATAGGGCTACCTTAACATTCCTCACCCGGCCCGGCCGTGCAACGCTCACCTGAATCCGCTCATGCACATGGGCGCTGCCATCTTACATTTTGAACAGCGCCCTCGTTTGTTCAAAATGTTCACAACACAAACTACACGGAGAAATCAGATTATAAACTACACGTTAGAAATGATACTCCCTAGCAACATAGAAATAGTCTGGTGCATCATTTTGAAGACGCGTGATTTTGTGTATAAATACTCAGGACTTCATACCTAAATAATGAAGACGGCTGCAACGATGTAAATTATGTGTGTACCAAGTCATGGAACCCTACTTTTTGAGGTACCAAATGACCATGAAATATACTGTTTCTTAATTAAATCTTTATAATAGATCTGAGTATAATGAAAGAAGTGTTCAAAAGTATTCGTTTTAAGAGTTCTTGATTTATTAATCATTCTCAATTTACTTCTGGAATGCAAACTAGCTTGAGTAACTCCTCTCCCATGACTCCAGCTGACATGATTCGCTGACATGCTCATATTCATTCACATGTGAATGAATATGATTATGAGCATGTCAGCTGGAGTTACTCAAGCTAAATGCAAACCAAAAAACTTCACAAAGACACAAGTTCAATGAATTTTGATTTTCTAATTGGATTGAATCATTGAATGGGGGATTTTGAGATGTTGGTGGCAGCAAACATGCCGATCCTTTTTCCATTGTTTACGTCACATTGAACATCATGCGTACTCCTAGAACTGTGAGGCTCCACGTAGTGGAGCCTCATGAGGCAGAACCCCGCAAAATTGTTATCAACACAAAACACTAATTAAGTACAAAAACGTCCATCCCAACCAAGCTGTTTCCTACTCCTAGAACTATGAGGCTCCACGTAGTGGAGCCTCATAGTCATAGAGGCAGAACCCCGCAAAATTGTTATCAACACAAGACACTAATTAAGTACAAAAACGTCCATCCCAACCAAGCTGTTTCCCACAGAACCGCTGCACAGTTTGCCCCTAAACTCCGTACAATACCTCATGACATACTCACGTTATGTGCACCCAACAAACATCGGTGGATTCTGTCTGTTTTCGGCAAAAATGTTGAAAAATATGCCCTTTCCGCACTGAGCCAACCTAACACTTGAAACGAGCACGCGCGCAGAATGATCGCAGTCATTTTCGGGTACGATCGCTCGGAGCGCGCCGCGGGGGTATGGTGTAGGAGCGGAACGAAAGTATGCGCATGCGTACAAGTGCAAGTACGTACCCCCCGCGGCGCGCTCCGAGCGATCGAACCCGAAAATGACTGCGATCATTCTGCGGGCGTGCTCGTTTCAAGTGTTAGGTTGGCTCAGTGCGGAAAGGGCATATTTTTCATCATTTTTGCCGAAAACAGACAGAATCCATCGATGTTTGTTGGGTGCACATAACGTGAGTATGTCATGAGGTATTGTACGGAGTTTAGGGGCAAACTGTGCAGCGGTTCTGTGGGAAACAGCTTGGTTGGGATGGACGTTTTTGTACTTAATTAGTGTTTTGTGTTGATAACAATTTTGCGGGGTTCTGCCTCTATGTACGTGGAGCCTCATAGTTCTAGGAGTACATCATGCGCACTTTGGCTTAAACAGATATCGTCAGACCATCTAAAGCTACGCGCTCCTATTTCTACGCAGTCGTGTTCTTATAATATTTTCCAACGTGTGCATCCTAAAAAATGACGTAGGCCTACTTTCGCTCGGATCATATCCTTTGATGCACGAACTAGTTTAATCAGCAACGGGAAAAATGTGGAAAGTGAAGGTTTTAGGCCTACCGGGAATTCAGGCAAATTTTTTTAAAATAAAATCTGCTTTTTATGCGCCTATCAATTGTTTTCCCTACCCCTCTCCTTCTGGGCTGCCCCACCCAAGACGTGGGGATTGTCACTTTTGAAGTGACAAAATCCCCACCCCTCGGGCAAAATTTAAGTGACAATCCCTGACCATGCCCCGACTTACATACGTGGGGCGCACTAGTGATCATTGCCTTTCCATTTACGCCAATGTTAACAATTTAATTTGAGTGACCAAAATCCCCACCCTGGGGCATGAAAAACGTGACCAAATCCCGATATCGGACCTGGGGTAGCGCGGGGGTGGGGGGGAGGAAACATTTGATAGGCGCATTACAGCTGGGGGGGGGGGGGCTAATTACCAAGTACAAATGCACTCAGATGCTTCCGGGCCTGCAGGAGTTGAAAATATGACCGTACAGCGACCTTTCTTGGTCTCCCACTGTCGTCAGTACTATAGTGAATAGGCCTATGTCATAGATAATACTTCGCAGTTTCTACAGGGGTGTAAAACTTATGGTGCAACCAGAAAAGACATGTTTTTTAATACTTTATAGGCCTATTTTGGAATTTTTTTTGTCAAAGCCATTAAAATCTGACTTCTCTCAGGTGATTGGGATGATCAAAATAACGAGTGGGATCTAATTTAAAAAGGTTAATATGTATAAACTGTATTTATTTTTTAAAATTTTACAGACTGCAATTACTATTGCAGAAGAAATTTTTTTTCTCAATAAAATCTCTACACTATCATACATGTACTTCATTGTAGTTGAAAACTATTTGGGTTTAAAGTAAAGTCAACAGATGAGCCGCGTTACAAGCAGTGATGTTATCAAATGTTCATTTTTCTCCCTTTTTCTTCATTTCAGTTTACTGTTGACTTCATTTCAATGAGTTAGCAACCACAAACCATCGCCATGGCAACTGTGGAGGGAGATAGTAAATCCTGGAGTAACGCCCAAGCTCTTCAGAAGAAGGAAGAGCTGTATACAATGGGCAAACTAGGCTTTGGCACAGTAAGTTCAGGTTTTGGAATTTATTGTTACTAATTTTAAACCACTCCATTCATTGTGTACATGAATGATGTGCAAAACTTGATAATCGTTATTTTCATTTTTTGAATTGCATCCTTTAATTAGATCCTCTATAATGTGAAGCGTTCACATAGAATGGATTGTTTACATCTCGCTACATGTTGACGCCCTCAACCGATGTGTGACATGTACAAATTCACTAAGTTGGACACACATTCCCCTACAAATCTCTCTTAAATACTTTTCAACATGTGTGACGCGATCAAGCTACATGAGTCGTTTGTTGACCCTGGTCAATTTTTAATTTTTTACAGATTTGAAAAGAGCACAATCTCAGCATAACTGCTGTGAAAACCGCATGCCGATACCATCTTTAGTTCAAAAATTATTAAAGTCGGAACACCAAGAGATGTCATAAAGTGATGTGATGAAGTGATCTAATTTTGGCCTGTATCTCCAAATAAAAATTCCCGACAAACGACTCATTTAGCTTGATCGCATCACATATTCCTTACAGTTCTCACATGAAAGTATACTCTCTGAGGTACAAGATAAGCATAAAAAATGTCTTTTTTCCGTTTCGAAAGTAGCGTCAGGTTGCAACATTTTTCCTGAAATATATTTGAAAAAAAAAGGTTTCCAAGTGAATCACTTTTTGCCACTTTGTTAAAAGCTACTTTGCAGCTTTTTTTAAATGGAGTCATCAGTAATCCTAGCATGAAATCTTCTGGTTTGTCTTGTTGCAGCGTGATTTACAGAAGCGTTATGAAGACATCTTGGGCCCACTGACCCTGTTTGCTCCTTATTTCCATGAGAAGGGTAAGTTCAGATCTTATGTCATCATTGGCAAGTATCTTGCAGTCAATGCTCTTATTATTTAAGGGAAAACACTTTGACTAAATGTATTCTCTCTTCATTTTGCACACAGCTGCTGAGAAAGTTGAGTTGGACATTGAACGGCCAGTAACTCCCATTGATGTAAGTATAAAATTGTAGTCTATCCCTTTGGTGTACAGATTGTTAAAAAAAAATGGAATATCTGGCTTGGGCAACTGTGTTCGCTTTTTGTGCCTGAACTTACCCGCATCGCGTGAAAACTGTCGTCTCTCAGTAACTAAATCATACCGGACAGTAATCACAACATGACCTACTGGTGGGCCTACACCGTGCATGACTGCAAACCACATTTGCTCGTACCGGGCACAGTGACTCTGCAATAAATATTGCACAGTTTCAGTTTTCGAAGTGTTTGGGGTTTATTGGTATATTTCGGGTTTTTCCAAAATGGCTTAACCAACCCAAACCGAAAATCGCAAACTCAAAAGTGAGAGCGACCCAACCTGACCCGAAGTCGGTTTTGGGTCAGGTTTGCACAACATTAGTGTGCAGGTATCCTTAATACCCCAGTAACACTAAAAATATGGAGTAGTGGGTCATGATGATATGGTTCCTATTTTGCTGCACTTGCTTTATGAATGATGACCTTTCCTACATTAAGTTGTTATGTCTGACTTTTTTATGTTCTGTTGAAATTTTCAGGAGAGTATCAAGACACCTCCTACTACATTCAGTCAATTAGCTAAGCTGATTCGTCGTAGGATAGCTGCTAAGCCAGAAGTCACTCACATCACCATGGAGGATCAACATACATTGGTAAGTAGGAAAAAGCTTTCTTACTCTTCGGTCAGTTTGAAGTAATTCCTTACTTCAGATCCCATCAAGATGTCGGAGGTGTCCAGATGAGCAATGTGTCTTATCTTTCTACCGACAATCCGTAGTGCTGTTGCTTTTGCTAAGTTGTCTTGGCTGACTGTAGTCTTTCCAGTTTTGTAGTCCAGGCTAGCACAAGCCCTCCCACGCCCTCTAAAGTCATCACAAGTCCTTCGATCTCAACTCAAGTCTCAAACTATTCAAATGGACCTTGATACAACAATTCCTTCATTATTGTTCATGATCTATGGTGACTGGACTTGTAGACGGATTTGTGACGGTCTAGCGATAGGGCACATGATTCATGATCGTGAATTTGTGGGTTTAAGCCCCACCATGGCCATGCGTGTTGTGCCCTTGAGTAAGGCGCTTTACCTCAATTACTCCTCTCAACCCAGGTGTTAAATGGGTATCGTCATTATTCAATGCTGGGAAGGTAACAGACTTGCTGTGGAGGAGGTGTGGAGATCCCCCCGAAGCAGCATTTCATGGACTCGAGTCTAACCCAATTACTTCGAAAGAGAGATGGGAACTTAGCCCTCTGTTACCTTTATTCTTCTCATTTCCTACTTTGCATAGGCTGGTATCATCATGGGAGAAGTCAACTGCATCTGGCCAGATCTCAGACGGCAAGTGGACGATCCGTTCCTGGTAGGTTACATTTTATAATCTCGCTGCCCATCTACTTGGAGTGTTTTTCCTGTACTTGATTTATTTTATTATTTGTTAAGGTGTGACAATGTAAATTATTCCATGAGTGCAAGTAGAAGGCAGAATAATGCAGAAGCGGACCATGTTGCTTTATGTGACTGGTAACAGAGGGTGTGATTATTGAACTTGTGTTGATAAACAATTAAACTCCTTTTGTCTCCCAACAATTTGAATACAAACTTCAGGGGTGATATTTGTCAAGATTTTCTGATTTCATGATTTCTTTGTCAGGATTGTACCTGATTTCAGGACTTTTAAAGAATTCTTTTTTAAATCTGGGATGCGTGAGATTTTACAGTTAAGGCATTTTATCTATTTAACTTTTTAAAGTTGTAATTTGTAAGGGGTGCCTTTAGGCAAATACAAACATACACATATGCTATAGACCCTAAGTTGCTCGGGGACCCTTGGCGATCAAACCCTCTGCCCCCCCCCCCCCCCACTCCTCTTCCCAATCTCACCCCGAAAATTGAGGCTTTTTTTCAGCGCTACAAACATTTTACACAATCAAGATTCAAGTATATAATAAACTGTTTCTGTCTGTTTAGACTGCAAATGAGAATAAGGAACTGCAGAGGAGAATCACGGTTCATATCGTCACGGTGTGTGAGCAGTTGTTTCTACACTACGTGGAAAAAGCTAAGAGTGAGTAATATCGGTTAGCTGTTTTCAGTCTCATGGCTTGTGCTTTCATCGAGAGAGAGAGAACAGGTTTAATATCAGTCATCTAGTATAAAATGAATGGTCCTTATTGGGAAAATGGGGTTGAAAGGTCCTCATTTGTAGAAATTACTTACAAATTAAACAAAACAGTGGCAAATGGGGAACTGCCAACAAAGCTCAGTTGGTAGAGCACTGAAATGGCAATCTGGAGGTCGCAAGTTCAAACTCCGCTGCAGCTAATTTCTTTGCTCAACTTAAACAAAATTATGAGAAATTACTTGACAGAAATTAGTTGATCAAAAAGGAAAACAAAAAATATTATAAGGCTAAAATTTACAAAAGTGCACACCAGGTTTTTGATTACCGTATGGATTTTTGAGAATTTGCAGAGAATTGTGCGAATTGATAGAACATGACGATTAATTAACAGGAGATTCATTGTTGTAGCATATTTTGCTGCAAAGATGTAAATTGTCATGTTTTTTTGTTTTATTTTCAGTTTTGGATGAGAGAGGAGTCTTCAGCAAACGAGCCAATATGAGCAGGCTCAATGCCCAACTCTCGCTGGATGCAAACAAATTGTAAGTGGAAATCTCCAGCTCTCTCCGTCAAAGTCCATCTTTTTTTTACCCAAAAACGTACATTCTGCAAGAACATGACAAATGTTTAGTGTTTATTGCATTCTGTTTTTGATTTTTTTTTATTCAATGAGTTTTTGCAATTACTTTCCTTGTGCGTCATGTGTCATAAGACATCCTCCTTTCATTTTTTTTTTTAGAATAAGTATTGACTACAATCTAGACGGGATGTAATGTTTTCACTCTTTACACCAACTGCCATATCTGATATTAACTTTTCATTTTTCTGATGTTCCAAAATGCAAGCATAGTCGATTATAACTAACACCCTTGTTGTATTGAGGAATTTTAGTAATGTATAAATGATATCAAAATGATTTTTGTTTTCCCACGTTCAGCCTGAACATCTTAGCTGTTCGTCGTCACATCGTTGCTGATATCAGAGGCGTCTTGTCAGATTCTGAGGAGGAGTACCCTGATGATGCACCACCTGAAGAAGAGGTAGCTCCACTTTCTTACCAGAAACTGGTGAGTGGATCAGAGATAATCTTAAGACACCTATGTCCATGAGTAACATGCAAAGAAAAAACAGCTCCTTTTATCAAATTGCACTGGAAAAACAAAATTCTCCTATTAGTTGAATGTTAGACTTGATCAATTTTGTATGCTCATCATCAAATTCTCATCAAATTTCAGCTTTTGGGATAAAAATCATTGATGCAAACCCACAAAGTTCTATTCCCAGACATGACCATTAAATACTTTTGTAGAGGTTTTCTGATGTATTGTTCTGTTTAAAATTCAGAGGAACTGACTAGGCGCATTAAAGTCGTATCCTCTCTGAGTGATCCCCGTCTGCTCTTTCTGGGGTTTGCAGCATTGCTAATGTTGCTAGCATTGAGACTTTGGGCGTGATCCCTGGCTACATGGCATAGACGGGTTTATGGCTTCTGACTAGCACCCCTTGAACAAATATTTTGACAAATTGGGGAACGGCCAACAAAGGGCTAGATAGCTCACTCGGAAGAGCACCAGAACGACAATCTGGAGGTCGCAGGTTCAAACCCTGCTCAAGTCAAGTCAATTAGAATCACACAGCATACAGAAGCTGAATACACAAAAGCCTACTTACCCATGCAATATGTAAACATGGCAGTATTTTTGTCTGCTCGACAGATTGAGACAAGCCGTCCGAAGCGCAAGAAACGTTATCGTCAGACGGTCGACCGTGAAGTGCGGGATTTGAATCGTCAGATGCCGGCCATACAATCCCATAAGGTGCTAGACTACCTACCTGATGTGGATATCCTACAGAGAGGGCTATTAGAGCAAAATTCTGCTCAGAGGAGGGCGTCGATACATGCTGCTAGGATGCAAGGAGAGAAGGAGGCACACAGGAGGAGGAGTATAATGTGAGAAAAGGAAGAAAAGGAGTTTTAAAAATGCCAGTGTAGGATTTCCCCACTGATCTCTATATCATGGCTGGATGGCCTAGAAAGATTCACAGGATGAAGTCATTTGAAGCTATATTGGGGAGACGCGTTGATGTTCTATAAAGGACAACTTGCCAACTCAGATTTGTTCTCAAACGTTGTATTTCACTTTAGTAATTTCGTGGTTCACCTTCTGTCCACTGCAGTTCACAGTGTTTTAAAACATCGTGGTTCACTCTTTGAATGTCGAAGTTCACTTTTTGTGACGTTTGGAAATATAATCCTGCCGGAAACTTGTCCTTTGTAGATCATCATAATATGTGTACGTTAACAGCGTGTCAAAAATTCATACAGCATGCGCTGTATGGATGTGCATATTTGTATATTGGCGGCCATATTTGGAAGACCGGGGGCAAACTGGTCAAAAAGCAACAATAAATTTATGTAGGGCGTACTGGGCATACGCAATCCAGTCAGTATATAGAGATCAGTGGTTTTTCCTCTGGGTTTTCATCCATTTCAAAGAGAACTTAAGCAGTCAGTGGTGTAGTCCAAGTCTTCAACAGTTCTCACAGGTTAATATCACAAGTCCATCAAAAGTCCTACAGTCTCGTGTCAAGTCACAAGCTATTCAAGTGAACTGTGATAAAAGCATTCCTTATTTTTTGTTGTTCGCCGTCCGTCACTTGTGATATACTTTAGACTGGACTTGTGATTTACTCCAGCAGGAGATTTTCAGACTTTTGTCTGAAATTAGACCTTTTGAATCTGAGAAAGAAAGATGTTACCAGTATAGAAAGAATTGTATCTTTCAGACCTTTCATCCAATTTTCAGACCATATTTTACAATTCATCCCAATTGACTTTTGATAGACTCCACTGAAACACTGTAAGAAGTAGATAAGAAAAGAGCCCTGTATTTTACTTGAAGCTTGTCCAAAATACACACAACACTGCCTAGTGTTGGATTAAGACAACAGAAAAGTTCCTGAAGAAACTACCAATGGCTTAGCTGCTCAATTACAAGATTAATTTGTTTTATTCTTTTGCAGGGATCAAGAGAGGAAACCCGTCTTCCATCGCAAGATGAGAAGAGCTAAATCCTTGGAAGTGTTTCCTGTCGAAACCATCTTTGAAGACCTGGGCATTGAGTACAACACTGTTCATAAGCGAAGACCTAGCCTGGAATTCGACCCCAAACTTGTAAGTTCATTGAGCCAGTTATGTTTATTCCTACACATGCTAGCAGAGGGATGATAAATGTACCCCATCAGGGCCTAATTTCATGGCGCTGTTTACAGTTAGCCAAATATCACTGCAGCAAAATATTTTGGGAATACGGTAAGTATATTTTACAGGTTAGCGGAGAATTTTGGCTTCTACACATGCATACATCCAATAACTAAGGATTCTACACTTACAGGGCTAGCACACAATTTTTCTGCTAGCGCGGTAAGCAAAGAACGGTGATCGTAAGCGCAGAATTCTGTAGTTAGCAGAGCCATGAAATTGCGCCCTGGTATAAAAAAACTGTTTAAGAAACTTCATTAAACATTTTGGAAATTAGCCCCCAAAACGTGTTAGCTTTTGTAGTAGTTACGTTTTAATATTTAGACAGTTCGCCATTATTTTTCCTTTATTCCTTAAACTGATCCCAGTTGTCAACATTTGTTGATGAGCCAGGACCCTATTTTTGCATTTAGAAATTCAGGTCGCCCTACCTTAATAGTAATGGAACAATTAGAAACAAAGGAGGCTATGTTTATTTTGTTGTCATTATTTGCTTTTTCCCTTGTCAAGCCCCACAGTGGATTATCCCAAAGTCAGAAGGGCCCCTAGCCATTGTAAAAATATATTGATTGCAAAAATATCAATTGTCATTGACTTCTTCTGCAGCCAGAGAAACCAAAGACGACCGAAGAAGATGTCTCCAAATCCAAGGACTCCCGAGAGTACTTCCAGCAAGATCTGAAGAAGCTATCCAGATATCGATCAGCTAGGGATGAAGGGAAAGATGAGCAGTTAGCGGAGGATGAAGATCTACCGCCTCTCTTGCAGGTAGGAGGGTAGTCAAGCCGGGTCCTTTTGGGAGTACCTTGTGCGTTCCAGAAGGAGCAGGAGTGTTCTTAGTGAAGAGACACTCCATGATAACAGCCAACTTACGTTCAAAGACAGCTAAAATGTTGTTCAGGTTAAGGATATTATTAAACAGTGAATGGGATTTTTATGGCCCACAATTTTATGTCTGAATCTGTAACATACAATTATATTTTAAATTCAGCATGACTACTTCCTTCTGATAACCACGATTTAAGGGACAATGCTGCTGTCAATTTCCATGTTTCTGATTAAAGTGATGTCATTCTAAACAAATATTCGGTGTTGTAGCTGTTCAAGCATTATTACTGGGTCTATTTCTCTTCCTTATTTCTTTCATGTCCCAATTGAAATTAGGTAGGCTTGCATACTTTACTAAATGTGTTTTTCTTCAGGCAATCTCACTAACAGACAGAGCTGATGCAAGAAGGGAAGAGTTGAGGAAACAACTGAAGAAGATTGAAGAGGAACGAGCAATCCAAGAGAGAAATGAACGGTAAGTTGTTGATCAGCAGGTGTGACTAATGTGTTTGTCTAAATGGACAGTGGTGTTCGAGAGTTGCAATAAACAAAAATTTTCATTAGTTTGACATTTGAAACAGCGATTTACTTGCAAGTCGTTGAAAGTTTGACTGTTGTAGTCATTGGGAACACTTCAGAGTGTCTTCAAAGACACATAAATGTCCAAAACACAGAATGTAAGAGCAATTTCGGGCGAGGACCATCAGTCCACTAGTGGTTGATTTGTGACGTAGCTTACGCCTGTGCACTAGTAGCAACCTGTGAATGCCTCTTGTCAAACGATGGTCAAATGTCATCATGAAGGTTACACCTCTATGTTCCGACACCCCGATGTTCCGACTGCACATATTCCTATTCCTAACCCTAACCCTGACCCTAACCCTAACCCTAACCCTGACCCCTAACCGGGAGTAACACAATCTAGGTTGTCGGAACATAGGGGTGTCGGAACATAGAGCAGTCACCATCATGAACGGGCTCCAAATACTTGACTAGCGTAATCTAATCATCCTTCGTTCGAGTAAAGTAAGTCGAGCTATGGTTAACTATAGTTCGTACCCAAACTTGATCTAGTTTGGTTGAGTCTTGTTGGTCCGAATACTTTTTGGCTCACTGCAACTCTGGAATGTAAATGGTTGTAAGAGACCTGAGATTTTAATATCAGGTTTTTTGCCCTTCACTGACGTATAAACACTATACTCAGTGTGTTACCTCCCGAGTGAAAGTTGGAAAAAATCGCTCGGGTGAAGGGCAAAAAAACGTTGATGTAGGGCAAAAAACCTAATATTGATTAACATCACCCCAACGCAAAATGCCATCTTATGAATAGAGCTGAGATATTTTATGATATAATTAGCCTGAAGAACAATGATAGTGTGATTTATTCTCTGTACTGCTCTAAACTGCCCTGCCTGTTACTCCCTATACTGCCCCAATACACCCAGCACTGTATTATTTTATGGATTGTCATGGAGTATATACAATATAATACAAGTAATACAAGTGTTAGTCACTGGCATAGTCGTGACGTCACTCAGAGGTCAACTCATTGCAACCATGGATATTGGTTCATGTGCAGTGTAACGGCCCAGTGAACACTGTGGTTTCGCTATGGCTATTGCATGGGAATCTGTTTCATTATTGGCTTGATTCTCTTGTAAGTGAAATAATATGCACAACTGTTGTTTTAACTGGTTTTGTGACAATCTGCTGAAAGACAATGAACCATTTTGAGGTACTAATTTGTGAAAATGTTCTTTAAAAGTAGGATGGAAAATTGCTGTCTGTAATCGTGTGTGTTCAACGTACGTGAAATTTGTCGATATGGAATGCACATGAATAGTTGTTGAGGAATGAGCCTGGGCAGGAGGTGATGTCACTATTTCAGCTGAAGCACCAAGTTGATAGGTATACTCAATTTCAGAATGAGTATTATTAATTCTGGTTACTCACTACAGTATTGAGATTTCCGAGCCTACCCACCCTCAACCTGCAACCGTCACCACCAGAATGCCCAACAAGTCAGTCGTCCGTACCTCAGACGTGCGTGTGTCAGAGCGTGTCAGCCTTTCATCTATCACACTGAAACTCAACACCACCGTCTTCAATGAGCTCAATGATGATGTGAGTATTTCACAGAATAGTGAATTGTTTCTGCTCTCGACAAATCAAACTTCGAACGGACGTGTAAACACAATTTTACTTTAAATGCCATCACAAAGTGGTTCCAAAAAAAGGACAGACATTGATTTGAATAAAAGCAGATTTTTCAATTTTCAGAAATGTTACTTGCTTTGATGAGCTCCTAAAACAATTTGGAAAAATTTTTCTTTAAAAGGCATAAAGGATCATTTGCTTTTCATGTATATTTTCGTTTCCAATATTAACACCACTCAAAATCCAAAGAAGAATGTTCAAAACCTGACCTGTTGAAGTTTCAGCATAGTGGGTATTGCACTTTTAAAAAAAAACTGTGAAAAATCATGCACAACCTTTTGATTACGAAACATGATGTGATCAATAGAACTCTTTATTCCAAAATACAATTGAGTGATCATGGGAAATCACCTACATTTCTTGATTTCTTCTAAATGACAGCAAGCCAAACGGAAAATTTTTCCGAGTGTTAAGTATCAATCCAAGTAAGCTTTTCGACAATAATTCAGTGGGTTACTTTTGCGATAAATGCAAATTATCCAATATGCCTTTAATGAGTTCAGGATATTGTAAATAACAAATTGAGGACAAAGAGGGTTATTTGTTGCATCCAAATATCTGTTACAGAAGTGTTTGCAACATTCTAGTGTTATGCCAAAGACTATTCAGAGTATCAATTCACACTGTAGATAACTAACTTTGAATCAACTATTTGAATTTGTTTGCATTACAGGTAAATGGCAACACTATCAAGAAACTGGACAGTAACCTGTTCCGTGGTCAAGAGATTAATGAAGTGTACAGGGAGATCATGAAGACGTTGTCTACTGACCACTTAGCCTATGATCAGGTAGATAACTCACTTAACCCCTCCCTCCTTCCAAACTATGCCCCAGCCCTACCCCACCCAAACCACCACACCCAACCCGGCCTACCACACCCAGAAACTGGACAGTAACCTGTTCCGTGGTCAAGAGATTAATGAAGTGTACAGGGAGATCATGAAGACGTTGTCTACTGACCACTTAGCCTATGATCAGGTAGATAACTCACTGAACCCCTCCCTCCTTCCAAACTATGCCCCGCCCCTACCCCACCCAAACTACCCCACCAAACTCAGCCTACCACACCCAGAAACTGGACAGTAACTTGTTCCGGGGTCAGGAGATTAATGAAGTGTACAGGGAGATCATGAAGACATTGTCTACTGACCACTTAGCCTATGATCAGGTAGTTAACTCACTGAACCCCTTCCAAACTATACGCCCCAACACCCAGAAACTAGACAGTAACCTGTTCCGTGTTCAAAAGATTCATGAAGTGTATAGAGAGATTATGAAGACATTGCCTACTGACTACTTAGCTTATGATCAGGTAGTCAACTCACTGAACCCCGCCCTCCTTCCAGTCTCTGCCCCGCCCACATTCACCCCAACCCACTTAATCCGATCTTTTACACTTAGAAACTAGACAATAGCTTGTTCCATTCTCAGGAGAGTAATGAAGTGTATGGGCTAAGCCTATTTTCAGGTAGTTTGAGACATCGTTACTTGAGACCATTTGTATGTAGAGTAACTCAAGTCTTACCCAAATAGAATTTGATGTAAATATACTAATTTTCCATTGTTTGAACTCTGGCGTCATTTCAAACAACTGCAACACATGTTTTTGCCCCTAATTGTTTCAAACATCAAATTCTTATCTTGAAAATAATATAGTTTGACTTTGAATGACTGTTAGATTATAATCTTTTGTTGAATTAAGAGAATCATGTGCTTAGATTGACATTGTTTTCTTGACTTTTATTCCCTGCATCTAGGATAAGTTTATGGAGCAGTCATCCAGCTACCATGCCTTAGCAAACCACACCATCCTAGCATCCTCCATGCTGCAGAAACGTGGTCAAGATAGAGTGCTGAACCCAGTCCTGACTAAGACAGAGACCCCACCCTGGGGAGACGACAGAGAAGAATGGTCCAAGAGGTATGGCTGTGGCTAACTGTAACACACTTGTCTATGGGAAGTGGATTCAGCCGCTTACATAAGCTTGTGTGTTATCACCAGCCGTAGCCAAGTAATTTATATGTGACCCATGTAAGATCAGAAATAAACTACTCATCCACATCAGACTCGAACCGGCCAGCCCAGTGAGCTCGATGGTTGAGTGGCAAGTCTGCACTAGTAAGCAGGAGGTTGTTGGTTTGAGTCCCATTCGAGTAAGCTTTGTGGATATTTTCTCAGAAGCCGTCGGAAAACACAGAATATGCAGGGTTTTTATAAAAATGCGTTGTGGAAGGAAAAAACCCCAAAATAGCATCTAATTGACCCAATCCTGACTGTCTTTCAGGGTTCTACAGATTAAAATTTGAATGAGAAATTTGGAATTATGCGTTACCAGTGCCCCAAAAGTGGACAAACTCAATTTATCCATTTTCTAATAGCAGAATTGTAGGTTTTTTAAAAGTCGTGCAATCCTTTTTAAAAAAAATTTCAGCTGGCAGAAATTTGGATTTTACTTTGATGACTCTTTCGGCACCAAAAAGTGGACAACTAAATATCTCAAATTCCCACTTCCAGAAATAATGAAGCTCAAAAAGTGGACAACCCTACTTTCCCATTTTCTGCTAGCAGAATTTCAGTAGAAAATTTGACTTTTTCATTTGTGCATTTTCAGTCAATGACCAAATATCCACCAGCACAAAATGGGAGAGTGTGATCTCTGCAATACATTCAACCTAAATTTCTGCTAGTGGAATTTCAAGATTTCCAGTTTTCCACTTTTGAGGCAGAAAGAGAGTCATCAAAAATCAATTTCTGCCAGCCGAAAATTGACAATCAAAAAGTCGACTTCAAAAAATCTGACATTGGCTTGTCCACTTTTGGAGCTCCATAATTCCATCACAAGTCAATCATCACTCATCCAAGTCAACTCACTACCAATTCAGTTGGACTTTGACAAAGACATTCCTGTGACGAAAGTGTTTTTTTTTGTGTTATTGTTCATCTCCCTGTTAGTTGTGACCGAACTTGTGAATTGACTTTTGACTACCCTGTAAATTGGGGTGATTCACAATGCAGTGCGCCCTCTAGAGTTTGTCGTGGAGAGTCCATTTTTCAACTTTACATTTGACAAAACATGGCCCATTTGAACAAGTGTCAGGAGACATTTACTTGAGCTAATTTGTTATAGATTGGGGCATAGTGTTCTGCCGCCTTACAGAAGTACCCTATTGATATAAAGAAAAGGAAAGGGCAAACAGATACTCGAATCATACACAATTTCAAATGTCCCGCGCTGCGAATTTGTCGACCATGTCCCACAATGCACTGGGAAAAATTAACTCTATGTGGCAAACTCTTGGTGGCGCACTGCATTGTGAATCATCCAAATTCAGTTGAACTGTGACAAACGTGTTTCTGAGATTCGTCTCCCTGTTGCTTGTGATCAAACTTGTCAATTGACTTTTGACTGTCTTGTGAAATGACTTGTTGATTCACAACTCTTTACATGACAATCTCAGTTGTAACAATCATTGCATTTCTGGTCTTTTTATCCAGTCCCATCTTCAACGCCACGTTTGCCAAGAAACCCACCGCCCAACAAGGCTACACCCTTGCCACCAGCACCCTCCTAGAATCCTTAACACCCAACATCAACCTAGGGGGTGGCACCCCCGGGCAGGACCTAGCTGGAACCAGTTCAGGCGGGTTGGATCTGGATGCAACTGCTATGGGTAAACCGGTCTCTCAAGGCTTGATGGACGACAGGAATGCGAGGTCCTATGCTTCGTGGCTTGCGTGGTGGAAGAATACCATCAGCTGCGATGATTACACCAAGTATTTATCTACACAGGTACAAATTTATCCTTTCAAAAAATTGTCTTTTAAATGAAAGGAGCCCTTTCGTCTCTTGAATGTGTTGTTTATTGCTCTAAGACATGTTTCTTAGGAAATGATACTAGAATGCGGGGGTTTTCAACATTTTCTCTGCAAATGTCAGATATGATGTGGATTTCCTATGATCTAGACTATGAAGCATGGTCAAGTATAGCGTTTCGCCCAGGCCATCGTGGCTTAAAGCGGAGGAGTTGCAAAGACCCGAAGCGACTGGAGCAAAGATTAAGTCAGCGCGCACGAGTGGCAAAACCATGAGGCCTTTCCCAACTTGATTTTGTTGAATTATTCATAGTTTTTATGCAAATAAGAAGAGTGCTGAAGGTTAACCAATCACAACGCAGATTTTGCCTAGTCGCTTCCATTTTTAAAAGAAGGGTGAGTAAGGAAAACGTTAGAGCAAATAACTGTAAGTTCAGATGAAAAATAAGTTCATACACTCAAATAATTTCTTGAAATACTTTTATAAGTAAAATTAGAATAAGATATGTAAGAACAATTACGCGGTCAAGATCTCGTGGAAAACTAGACTAGCATTTTTTGTTTTTAAATTTTGTGCAAGCATCCGGGTGCGTCGACGCGTCCGGGTAGTAGCCACGCGCGCACTAAAAGGCTGATGATTGGTTGGAATTTTGCTACCCTTTTGGGTGGCAAAAATCGAGATTATAAAGAAAAGTGTAAGAATTTCTCGACAAGTAAGAAAAGACCCTCGTGGCTTCGCCACTCGCGTGTGTGGTCTCCATCTCCAGTCGCTTCGCGTTTTCACCGCTTTGAATGCGGGCAAGTTAAGCCACGATGGCCTTGGTGAAAGGCTAGGTCAAGTAACAATTTACACACTGAATTTGTGCAATCTTTAAATGAAAGTACACCGGTAACCTGTAGATTTTGCCTCCTGAGTGCACGACTAATCAGCCTGATTTTTTTTTTTTTTTTTTCTTTCACATGATGTATGGATTATGATTGATTGCCAAATTATCGTTTGGTGCATAATAAACTTACTGGTCAATCAATTCAATCAATTAATGTACCATTCAATCCATTGAGCAATGAGTCTCTCAATTTATTCAATCAGTGTGACATTTAATTTTACAAAGAATCAAAACGCTATTATTGACCCCAACTTTGTGATGTATGTCACAGGAAACTGATTTTCTGGGAGCAGTATTTCACATGTACGAGAGTGACGATGATGAAGGGGATGCCAATAAATCTGATAAAGATGTCCTCAGCTCCTCCAAAATGGCCAAGCAAAGGTGAGAGAACAGGTGCAGGACAGGTGCACAATTTCAAGGACCTGCTCAGCTGAAATATAGCCAGGCAAATATTCTCACTGAGCAAATATCAGCTGGGGACCACTCACAAGCAGTAACATCTCATGATATGTTGACTGGTAACCTATTTTGGCTAAGCAAATATGCATAGCTCCAGCTCAATGAAATCCGCCCCAGGAGCACAGAATGTGCACATATGAGTACAGTATGAAAGACCAATCATTTAATAGACTTTTCAAAGGTGGATTTTTTGCGTCGGGGTGATGTAAATCAAATTAGGTTTTGCCCTTCACTGACATATAACACTGTATACTCAGTGTGTTACCTCAGAGTGATACGTCGGTGAAGGGCAAAACCTAATTTGATTTAATAGAATTGCTCATTGTATATGAAAAGTCACCAGATGTCACCTGATGTTTTTCAGGCAAAAAAATATTTTCTAATAAAAAAAACATTCCCTATTTGCAAATCAAGCTTTAAAAAATATGCATAAGGAAAATCAGCATTGCCAACAAAATCTTAATTATTTATTGGCAATTAACTAATCTAAACGACGCATGTAAATGTTTCATCAAAGTTTTCCAGCTTAACCAGATTTTGAAACACATTTTTACAAAGCAAGCAACTTTTTTTTTCTCACAAACGCGCAGATATCACTGAGTATGCAGTGCTCATAAAATTCTGTTGTTAAAATATAAATCAATTGACATATCCCTGAAGCAAAATTCAATTTACAAAACTTACATTCGTGTTTGCTTGCCATAAAAACTTTCAGAGATCGAGACGAGAGACTGAAGGAACTGAAGAATCAGAAGACCGATTTCCAGTCAGGAATGTGGAACGTCAACTCGGTCTTGATGGGAGGACTTGGCAAGGATCCAGAAGTAGAAGGTGAAATGTTGCGCTACGTTAAAACATTTTGACAAAGGTGTCTTTGCAAAGAGGTTTCAGCTGCGTCCAAAGATGCATGTATATTGGCAAGCTGTAGCCATGTAATTCGGACGCAGTCTTAGAGATGGGATGATGAAAGACCAAAGAAAAAACATTCAATCAATCAATCAATCAATCAAAAGAAATTTATAAAGCGCCAAAATCAAAAAGTTCGTTCTAAGGCGCCGATGGGGCACCAAAAAGAAGAAAAATTATTGATGGTACACCTCCTGAAACAGGCAAGCTTTCAGGAGTGTCTTGAATGTATGCAGTGAGGTGGTATCTCTAATGTATTCTGGAAGTTTGTTCCAGATTCTGGGGCCGTATACAGAAAAATGATCTATCAGCAAAAGAGACAATGGGTTCTAGGCTCAACAAAGTGTAGTGAACAGGAGGTTGATGATCGAAGTGGTCTTTGCTAAATGACTGATTGAAACATGCGAATTGTTCGTGAAATTTGTGACCTGCCACAGCATAATGAGGAATAACCCCCACTTTTGACTTTTCACGGTATGTACATCATGTTTCAGCGCAAATCATTGGCTTTCCAGTGATACCAAATTCATTTCTGTTGCTTAAGTTGTTCCAAAGATATGACGCAGGAACTTCAACAGTGTCCTGCCAAGTTTCGCTAACCTCATTTCGAGAAATAACGGCTTTGAAAAAAAAAAGACACGCATGGTCTGCCAATGGCAGTGAAAAATGTTTTTAATTTTTTCCACTTTTGTGGGTATTTTTCTCCCAGCAAAAATGCATACCTGAATCTTTGATACCTTGGCTACTCAAAAATACGAGACAATTAATATCGACTTTGGCAAGATTTTTCTATTGTATCCGACTTCAGGCGTCGATTACTCAAAACAAGGTTTTGGGGGACATTCCTCATTTTACCTCAGTAGGTCACATTTGCTCTCAGCAGATGCCCTTTGTCATTTTCCTGTAAATGTACCCTTAACAAGACATTTTTAGTCACAAGTTATACCTTGGGGAAACAAGGTAGATTAAGGAGACATTTCAATATCTCCCTAATGTCACAACTCCTATTTAGAGGCAATTATGTACTGGCTAGATCGATTGCTCGTGGCCCAAAACATAAAGTATCAACATTTTGTGGGGGTAGGATAAGGTAAAATGTGGAGTGCTGTGGCCTCGTGGTTAAGGGCATTGGATTTGTGGTCTGCGGGTAAAGCTGCAGGTTGTGGATTCGAGTCCTAGTGGGGTCATGGTACGTGTGCCCTTGGGCAAGGAACTTTGTCACTCATTGCTTCTCCCCACCCAGGAGTAAATGGGTACCTGTGAGGGCAGAGATGGTATTAAATTAGCTTCCTTGCGCCTAACAGGCAGCATTGAGCTGCATACTCCCCAGGGAGCTGAGATGGTATTTGGAATGTTTCAAGGGCCCAATGAGCAGGGGTCACTAATAATGATGTAGCGCCGTAAGGGCCAGTACCTGGTGGATACGTGTGCTTTGAACATTTTTGTGCACAACCCTATGGGAATGTCTCCATAAGTTACCATTCTCAGTAATAATAATTATCATCGTCATTTCAGTGGTAGATCCAGTTTGCTATCAATTATGCAGGCAGGCAATAAAAAAATGAGGGCTGCAACCCCTCCTTTTCTCTTTGCCCTCAACCTGGATCACCACTACAGTCACTGTCTTCGACAAAAAAGTGGGAAGACAAATGAGCATTTTTTGCTTTGAAAATGCCCTTTTGGCAAAAGAACAGTGTGGATTTTTTTGATGTAGATTAATAGGGTGCTGCACAGTTTTTCTTCTACCTTTTCAAACTCGTGGCCCGTTTGCCAACAAGTCAATAAAATGAGGACAAATGCCATTAACGTTACTTATTCCTCGTTGATTGCGTTCTCTTTCTTGAAACAGAAGAAGAGGAAGAACCGGAGGAATCAGAAGGAACAGACTCCAGAGCTCGTTCCCGCCGCGCTCACTCGCGTTACTTACTCCGGACTACATCAAGAGGCTCAGCTAAATCCACTACGAGCTCAGTATCCAAGAGTGCAACGTTGAAGGTCCCTGGATCCCGAGGAGGAGACGGAGGCAAGCGATCAGTCTCAAGATTGTCATCCAGGGCAACCATGAGGGATCTTACCAGTCGTCTGTCAAGCACCGTAAGCATTGAGCTCATCTAGTTTGATTGATATTTAATCATGTACATCAGATATGAGTATTATTATCAAAAGTTGTGCCTAGGGAGACAAGGTAGATTAAAGAGACATTTGAATGTCTCCCTAATGCTTCATGTCCTATTTCTAGGCAGCATTTTGCTGTCACAAGTAGCCTTAATCGATCCCTCGTGATGCATTACCCAAATTACAAAGTTTGGTGAGGGTAGGCTAAGTTAAAGTTAGGGTTAGGGGTCATTAAATTTCAGATTTTTTTGTGAGCAAGTCTATGGGAATGTCTCGCTAAGGTACCATTTCCCCTAATTATTGTTATTAATATTTTCAGTAGTTTTTTTTGGTGTGTTTTAGTTCAGTGATAGATGAGGTTAAATCAGTCGTACTACTCTTCAGACTGGTATTGAGAATAGTATTTGACAATGGATCGGAAGCGGCCGGAATTGTAAAAATATTGCCTGGAGAAATGCTTCTATTTTCAATAATTTTAGTTATTGTACAATAACTCAAAAATGTTTCACAGCATACCAATAATTTGGTGAGTCAGGTTGGTTTGGTGGTCCATTCCTCACCTTCCACCTTTATGGCCTAGGTTCGATTCCTACCCTGGTCCACTTGTGGATTGGGTTTTCAGTCCCTGCTTTGTTATTATTTGTCTTGAGATATCCTCCCACCTCTAAAACTGTGGGCTTCGGGCACTTATTTGACAGATCATTTGTTTCATTACAAGAATTAAAATAATAATAGTAATTTGTTTCATTTTCCTTTCGGTGTTTTTGTAGAAATCTCTGCAGACATCTGCCGTTCCTGAGCCACTGACTTCCCAGGATAGATTGGAGGCCATCTGGACCTCTCTACAGATGCCTGACAATCTCAAACTAGACATGGCCATCAAATACAGCTCAGATGACCACATGGACAAACTAGAGAGTGTAAGTACTTGACAATGATCGAAGGCACTGGACTCAAGAATGGCCGGTGAATTACACTGCAAACTGTTTCTACTGAGACATATCAAATAACTCAGATTCTCAGGCTAGAGTTACTTATCTATTGTAATGTGAGAGTTTTGTATATTTCATAAACTGTGTTGTGGCCTCCCCACCCCACCCCACCCCACCCACATGTCTCTGACCCAGAAACTAAAACTCAAAAACAAAGGAGCTCTTGGTTTCAGAGAGTGTAAACAAAAAAACTGTAATGATATCTTCAAATACTTTGTAGGTGAAAGTGTATGCAAACTGGCATTTCTAAAACTGACATTTATATAATTGCCGTTTAAACGAGTGCTACGTTGACTTTTAGTTTTACTTTCATTTTCCGAAGATCTGTAGCTCGGTTTAAGAATTAAAAAGAATTGAAGATCTATAAGGAAGATAGTAATCAGGTTACAAGTACGTTACAAGTACAGGAGGAAGGAGTTGTGTGTGGGATCACTGATGCCATTAAAGCTGACGTTAACAGGCAAGGTGTCGGTGTTTGATGCTGTTGGCTGTTACATTTGATATTTAGAGAGCACTATCCATGCAGATGGTTTCTCGTGACCATTAACTTGCTAGGATGTCAAACAAGTTGTCCGAACAGCTTGTCTTCTTTCATTATGCAGTTTTGTTTCAGTTTCCGCTTTCACTGTTTTTGGTTAGGTTTTGTATTCTCATTTATTCAGGCATGCGACTTTTCCTCGGATCCGCTGATTTCCTTGTTTTTTACTTCTCATGAATGCCATTACAAATTGAAAAACACTGTACAAAGTCTTGTTTGGTTTGGAATTTCCTTGTTTTTATCTAAATTCCCAGTTGCATGTCTGTTTTATTATATTTGTATTTAAGATGGGAAGAGCACTGAATAATTATAAATCAGGGGTGTGAAATCTCAGCTTTAAAGCTGATTTCAGCTTTTTTTGTTTTGGATTTCAGCTTTTTCCCTCACTTGCTGTGTACAACATTATAGGAGATTTCCAAAGTTCAGCTTTTTACACCTTTTTCAGCTATTTTTATCAGTGGTCACTCACACCCCTGATAAATATATCAAATTCACCCTTTGGGGAGGTCTGCTTGAACTTTTCCCAATAGCCCCCCCCCCCCCCATCCCTCGCCGAAAAATGGGTTATCTAGCCGAGTACACTATTGTAATTTTAATTACATGTAAATTATTGATACATGATCATGTAAACACTGTTGTCCTCAAAGGACCGAAAATGTATTACAGTGCACATGTACATGTTGCCTCACTGGCCAACGACACATGTTAGGGGGGGGGGGACTCCCATACATGCACAACAGACCCTCTACTACTTGTGAGCTCTAAGCTACCAAACCTTCCGAGTGTTTCCTGAATTTTTGATTTTTGTGTCGCCTAAACGAAGTTTTGGGAGACACAAACCAGTCCTAAATTCTGTATGATCGTGTTACCATAGACACGTAGAATGTTAAAGTTTTTGGAATTGCTCTCATCTCCTTAATAATCGCCCAAATTCTATAAAACTTAGACACAAGGGTCATTGGGTAGCAAAGATAATGTGGGATATATTTTGGGTCACAGGTCAAAGGTCAACTGAGGTTTATAACAATGATGTAATTCACAATTTTAGGGAAAATTTTACAACATTGTACATGCTTTCATGGATTCTGATGAAACTTGGATGCAATGACCCTTGGGTGGGAAGACACAAATCTTCATCGGATTACTGAGGTCAAAAAGGCGACAAAGGCGATCCACGGATCACTTGAACCCAATCACCCCTGGTGATGATAAATTGTATACAGCACCTATAAAGCGCACTTTATCTGCAAGATATTCTAAGGCGCTGGTCCAGACGGAGAAGAGAAAACTCTATTTTGACTTGATTGCCAATGTTTCTGCTCTACAAACAGTTCCATTTGTCAATTATTATCTGACCTTTGTTGACAGGCCATTGATGCTTGGGAACTTGCTACTGAAGTCATCTTGCAACGAGAAGCAATCCTGACCAGACTGGAAACATTTGAGAGACTGGCCTCTGATCCTGACAGATTCTTCCAAAAAGGTTGGATAATCTCTCAATTTAAGTAATGTTTGAGAGGCGTTTTGGCAAAATGAGACAGAACTGGGCACAGGTCGAAATGAGGGTTTGCAGGTATTAGGAAAGAGAGTACAATTCTCCTTACAATACTGTTCGTTGCACTTCAATCAGACATTCCGTCGACAAGTTATGGCTGTTTAAAGTTTGCATTTATTTATGTCAAAAAAGTAAAATACTGAGAAAACGGCCTTTAATTTTGAGTTTTATATTAGTGAAAATGAAAGATGCTGATTGCTTTTTCTTTAAAAAACAAAACAACTTTATATCACGATTTTATATTTCTTATGTGCAGTAGACATATCAACAATTACAAATATCAAAATCAGAAAATTGGAAAAAAAATCACCCCATTCTGTTTTTTGCATTTTCCTCCGCTACTGCCGATGCCCATTTCCGTCTCATTCGCCTCACATTTTTCCTTTGTGTTTTTTTCTTCTCCTTTACCCTTTCAAACTTGCCTTCGAACCACAATCTCTTGCAACATTGTAAGTGTGAATAGAAATTGCCATCTACCATTTAACAGTTGTTAAACTTTATTTATTGATGTTTTGAAACAAAATCCTGAAAATGACAAAAATCCTGAAAGCCTTGTTCGAATTTGATAGATAGATTCATAGATTCATGTTTTATTAGTCATGTAAGTTAAAAACAGACATGAAATTCTTTTCCTGGTGTAAAAGCAATAAAATGAAACAGTAAACACAGCAATCAGCATATAAGATGATGAAAATCTTGAAAGTATCAATAGCTTAAAATATAAATAAAAATATGCCGGTAAAGAAGGGTAAGAAATAACCCATTGTCCCTCCAAACATACCTAGGATGACAGAGTCTTCAGGTAATTGAATCTGTGTCTTCTTATTTCTCTTACAGGTCACAGAGGTTCCTCAGTAGCACGTTTGAAGGAAGCGAGACAACGCAGCGAGCTCTACACAAGACTTCATGATCTGGATGTCCATGTCAGAGACAAAGTTCAGTTAGTCCATAAGAAGTTTGCTGACGTTCCCACATTCCAGGTATGAGAATCGGTTCGTTTTGGAGGCTGGACACCGTCTGACTCCAGGTGGCGCTGTTCATTGTAACAAAGTGTATCTACGTTTGTTTCCAAAACACAATATACGCCATTTTGTTGCATTTTAGAATCCTACCCTCTCCTTGTTGGCAAAAGTTACTTTCGACTGCTCATATATACAGGGTGGTGCAAAAAGAAGGAAACCCACTTTTGACAGCAATTGTCACCTACTTCTTGAGCATATTTCAAAAATTCAATTTTAATGGTATTGAAATATTGATCTTTAATAATAAGTGACGAAAAAATGATAGCTAATGCATATTTTGTCTCTGAGATGTGGTAGTTTAAAATTTCATGTGCCAAACCTGTTTGTCCACGGACGGCTTTATTCCATCCGCTTGACTGAGCTCCGGAGCTTGATTTGAAGACAAACAACACTACACTAGACTTACACGTGACTTGTATTTAAATTAGCATAAGAACACTATTCTTGCGAGTGTTTTAAAGATTTTTTTCACCACGTATGTTTGAAGAGCTATACTTCACTACATTATAAGAAAACAAATCAAATAAGTTAAGTAAGTAGGTTAAAATTCCTGTCAAAAGTGGATTTCCTTCTTTTTGCACCACCCTGTACATGTAGTTGAACACAATTTGGGAGTACAATAAAGCAAAAGATTAAGTTTAGAAACGGCTGTTATACTGAGGGTATGTTTTATAAGTTTTCACAATCGTGCAACTTTGTCACTTTTTTTCAAATGGATATAACACGTTTTAAAAATATACTCTTCACATGTCGACCTCTTTATTAGCATTGTTGCCCTTTGTCCTTGCCTTTCCTTTCTTACTTTTTGTTGACAGTTACACAGTTTTATATACAGGGTGAGTCAAAAAGAAAGTGACCTGGATTTATTTTTGTTTTCCCTTAAAAAGCAATTAAATTTGACACACAAGTGAAGCACATTCTTACACTATTGTGAAAAACAAAATGACTGAAATTGATCCGTGCTATCAGAAGTTACGTCTGTTTTCCTTTACAAGTTTTTCGCTCATTCATGGAGGTAGGAAACCTCCATGGTGCATTGTATTTAACAGGTATTCATCGATGCGTATCAGTAACTGATCAGTGGTGGACAGTTTTAAAATAGAAATAGCTTGCGAATAGAGTATGCGAATTACTTGAAAATTCCACAGTTACTAGTCAATAACATGTACATGTACTATATTCCTATGTTCTTACTATTATTAAATGGAGAGAGCCACATATCTTTTAAATATTTTTTATAACGCCGTCATTTTCTTTTTGACTAACATTATACAAATTTCTTGAATGGGGCGTCAAACCCCATGGACTCAATCAACTCGTTTACACAGAGAGAGTAGAGAGCGAGAATGAATGCATGGCCCAAAATGACTGGTGCTTACACAAAGACAGTCCGGCTTTGCGCTTATTAAAAGAAATAATAATAATCATGCGTATTTTGAACCTAGTTTTAATCATCGAGTTCTGAAATCAATTAAAAGTTGTTTACAAATGTCCTTGTCATTTATTCCTCCTTAGGGTCGTCCTTACCTCAACAAGATGAAAGTGGACTGTACCGAGATGCTGTATTGGTTACAACAAGAGAGGCGTCAATACGCTTTGGATCATTCCACGCTGGCGCAGGGGGTTAAACTCCCAGTAGCCGATCTTTCCTCTTTATCATCAGTCACAGCATCGTCAACAGCTTGAGCTGTAGATTAAAGGGAAGATACAACATTTGCAAACATCAAAAAACGGCGTGATCAAATTATCATGAAATACCTTACTGGATTGTTAGGGAATGACAGTCAAAAGCATCCTGTAAAATTGTGGCTCCTGGTGTGCAGACATTTTCAAGCAAACTTGTATTTTTTTCCAACGATGGTCGGCCGACCAGCATTGGAGAAAAGTGGCTTTTTTTCAAAAAGTGCTCCTAATTTTTCATATTTAGTTATTCTGCATGTTTTTTGCAATTGATTACACACCTGTGAAGGGATACAAGCCTGCTAGACTGATTCTTAATACAATTCCCCAAAGTCTATAAATTGTTCCGTTTATCTTAAATGGGAACAGGGAACCAGACTACAAGAATATGGTTGATTTTCTTGGATTTTCCAGCGAATTGCAGCAAATGTTGTACATTCCCTTTAACATTCTGTGACAAAAAAAATAAATACAATGTATGTATGTGTAATTGTGGCATCAGCCAACCATTTTCAGTTTTAAAATTACATTTGCGTTTTACCATATGCATTTGTTGTTGTTTTTGTTTAATTTGGTTTGACCGTTCACCAACATATTTCTAAAAAGAAATGTCTTTTGTGATTCAGAGTAGTGGTGCTGAGAAGTCCTGTAGAAAAGCTCAGAACAAATCACAAAAGAGATTAAATTTCACGTTGCAATTTCAAATGTGTTCGTTTTGCTGAGTTTGCCATACTTCAAATGTCATTCTTGTTGTTATTAGGGATTGGTACACTTGCTTTTATTTCTAAATAAGGAAATAGAGTGGCTGTAACATAGCATCACAATGTTACATAGCAAGATTCATGTCCATGAATTATATGAACTATGATGAGTAAGAAGTGGTTGTATGTAAATCCTATTTATCATGTTGGTTAGGAAGACAAAGTTTTCCTTGAAGTAAATTGATGTGTCTTCTCTAAAGCAAGGACATTTTTTTTTAAATGAACCATTCATTGTATTATACATGACCTGTAAATTCAAGGTTCCTTCCTATTCCGTCCAGTGAACAAAAAGATGACTTGGTTTTCCTTAATTTTACAAATTATTGTAACAAAGATATATAATTCAGGAGATGATACTTTTCTGTTAAAAAAACCACCAAACTGTTTATTTGTTGTAAATAAGATTGCTAAGTTTGAAAGCTTTTATACACTTTTGAAGAAGTTTGAGATCATACCTTTGAAATTGATGTGTGAATATGTAAATTATAAAGTATGCCTTTAATATGCAGTTATTTAACACAAATACCTTATTTCCTTCAAATTAATCTCAGAAAGTGTTATAACTTTACGTTTCTTGATAACTTGTGTGTTATATATTGCCAGGACTCCCATTGTATCCCCGTTTTGCTCAATTTTAGATGTTTGTCCCATACAAACGAATCCGTGTCACATGGCGATAAATGTCTGTGAAGTGCTTTCTGAATATTGTAAATAAAAGATAATGTATTTGGAATTGACCGCCAGTGTATTTTAGTAACTATTTTGTTTAGCCTATACTACCTGAACAGCTTTTAGACAGCTTTTATGAAGTACGTATGACGTCAGCTGTGGTCTGGATTGTTCAGGAATCATACACCATGGTCAAATCTTGGTTCAGCACAAATCCATTTCTTTTGGTAAGTAGCTACGTGAGCTGAAGTCACACGAACTCAGTGCACGGCCAAATTTCACTACGCTACTAAGCACAAAATGTGTTTAGCACAAAAAAGTCTGGCTTATAAAAGCAGGTTACCAGCCAAAACTCCATGTGATTTTCATGGTAAGCAAACAACAGCTGAATACCAATCACGAGCAATATACATCACGTGGAGTTGTGGCTGATAACCTGCTTTTATTAGTCAGACTTTTTTGTGCTAAGCAAATGTTTGTGCTTCGCAGCGCCATGATTGACCGAGTCATGCTGATTTCCATGTTTTGAAGCAGAGAGATAATTTTAATTGGAAAAAGTAAGAGTTTCTTATAGACCATGTTACGTTTGACGTCATACCAACGGCCAACCGACAGGCAACTCAAACATATGGCCCATATTAAACAGTTTCTTTCACACCAATCACACTAGTGCAAGAGCCACATGTGGAGAAGAGAAACGTTTGCTTAAAATTGGCAACACGAAACCACAACGTCCAATTTGTACACGGAAGGCCTGGTCTACATACCCAGATTTATTGATGTCAGAAAAAAATATATTGAGCGTTAGATCACATCAACATTTCTTGAAGCCGATGAACTGCTTTTTGAGCACTTTATAGTAACGTACGTCATTTTCCTTGAACATCAGCTTTACCATACCTCGTAAATATCTTGCGGTCACGTCTTTATTGTGTTTCTAATGTTTTTGTATTACTTGTAGCTCCGTATAAGCCGAGGTTGTGATGATAAAAACCGCGGCTTTTCAGAAGAAAGATGATTTATGATATTTGTTTTTCATCAAGACGGGAGCATTTCAGACCCAACGATGGAGACCTTTGCTTGTCCATCCAAGATGTTCCCGGACAATTGACATTTATGTCTGTTATTAATTGAAACTAACTAAACGTATCCTCGGCATGCTGTTTGTGGTGCTTTTATTAACGTTAATAATTCACCAAGAACGGGTTGAAGTGCAATCTCTGCAAACAATCCAAGGCCACAATTCTCATTTCTCTAGGCTCGATATTGAGGCAGGTCTTTCCGAGGCTTTTGTCCGGAAAAAAAAATCGGAGCTTGAAAATAAAAAACATGTATTGTAGGGTTTGTCTATTACTAGACTTTGATCTCGGACGGCGTCGGGATGTCTTGAATCCGCTTTTTTTCTGAATACAGCTGTGGAGGTGGAGGGAAGCGCTTCTAACTTCAGGGGATATTGAGGGTTTTGACAATGTATCATCGACCGTATCGAGGAGTACTCAACCTCGTCCCAGAGCTTACTTTATTTTCAACCTCGTTTTCAACAGAAAGCCATGGGATGAGAACTTGCTTCCTGTATCCTGATTCCGCTATTAGCGGTATCGAATTATATCATGTACTTCTTGGTGTTGTTATTATTCCAACGCGTATTGCGTGTTTTCACGTTTATTGTAATTATTACGTCCATACCTCAAAATAATCCTTTCCTTTCCAGTTTGCTCAGACATATTAGTATGAAATATGATATATGTACTGCATATTGACTGGATGAGATTGTAACATTTTAACTTTGAAAAGGAAATCGTCAACGGTTCACGCCGTGACAAATTGATTTTTGTTTTACCCCCGGACACCACATACAAAAACAAACGCTGATGTAAAGCAGGGGACGGCACCAGACTATTCCACATTTGCATACGTATCCAACATTTTGGGATATGCAAATGTTACCAGGTGAGAAAGCAGTTAGTGGTGGGAGCGTACTGCTCGACACCCTGAGAAAGAGGTTGAGGAGTACGTCTGTAGGGAACCGAATCAGGTAAAATTGAGTTTAACCGGGATGAAAGTACGGGGCCTTTTCTTCGATCCTTGTCCCCACCTGACCCAAAGTCCAACTAATAAGTCGCAACTGATGGGACAGCGATATGCCTCTACCTTGAAAAGAAAGATAATTTTCCTCCCAACCTCTGCTTAACTCCGTAGGTAAGATGCGTTCATTAACAAAAGAAGAACCATCAAGGGAAATGAGCGCCGACACCTGTCGCATTTCCTGCCCTCAATAATCTAAATGACTGTAGCAAACACCGATCGTACCTCACTTGAACTTTGATTACTTCCTACTTCATCCCCAGTGCAGACGTTAAAGATGTCATCTTCGTCCATAATACGACCCACAACAAACCATGCCTCTTCTGTGCATGCGTGAGAGGTGATTGAATCTTGATCGATTTAACTCCCTTGCAAATTTTCTCAAGATTCCATCTATAAGTCTTACACTGCAGCAATCGGGAATTTGATACCAAACTGTCAATAATCCAGCAGCAGTCAGCTCGTAGAATTCCAGATTTAGCAGGCAAGGTGATGCTTAATGTCTGGTAAAACGATAAGATTTCTCGTCATGATCGTGGGAAGCCCTGTTTTATGAAACTTTGTCAATATATTCCGTGAAATATACGTTGATTACATGGCACTAACAAACAAAAACACCTGATTTATTCTGATCTCAGGTTTCTTTTTGCTGTTGTTAAGACTATGTATAGTGTTGAGATTCGTAATAAATTGAAGGTTGTATTTTACCTACAGGAGGATATTTTAAAAAGAAGGATTCCGGGGAATATTTACATATCACCCTTGGTTGCCTGCCACTTCGATTCCATTTTGTAAACTTTCGGTTTTAAAGACAAATGATGAATTTTAAATTCCAAGTCCAATTGTCGTAATAATTGTCACACCCAACTAATTGTCTCTCCGTTTCCCTCGTGTAATCAACACCCACGATGCTGATAGCTAGCCCTGGTGACTTTTGCAGTAAGACCTTGCCTGATCGTATTTAAAAGTATCATCACAGGACACTGCTTTTCTATAAGGTTGCGTTTTAGACCTACAAGCATGTCAGAATCAGCAGACCGTATGTCAATCGGCGATAGTCTACTTTCTAGCGACCGTTCGATCATCTTTCCGAACAACGTGCACGTGTTACTAGGATTTTGAATACAGCACAAGTTGCCCCACACCCGTCACATGAATAAACGAATACAAGCCGCCGTCTCGGACATCTTGTCACATCGTTACAGCTGCGGTTCCACTTTGAAACAGTAAATTATGCATTCAAATGTCGCATTGTGGAACCGTTGCAGCGCAGCTTTTCACACCATACCTGTGACATCGGGATATGACCTTTTTTTAACCAGAATTTCGTCAGATTAGGGATTCAGCGTGCAATTTGGGGCAAATGTTGCATTTTAATGTTATCAAGTGAACAGGACAAGCAATCTTATTACTGTAGCTCAATAACATCCGTTTTAACTTGACAGCTATAATGTTTGTTACCCATGATTTTGTAAGTTATCAAGAGATCGATTAAGCCTTCTTTAAGAATTCGTAAAAGGATAACCGTATTTCTATCTGTGCGTATAGTTTATGATGAACATTAATTTAGAAGAATAAATGAAGTAGGCCTACAGAGTGCAAAATGTACTGCAAAGTAAATA